TGGGAGAGGGAAGTAGATAACGCTCATGAACAAGAAAGAACCCTTCTGCACCCTTGCATGACAAACACAAGGTGAAAATGGGTACTTACATAGATAGACACGGTTCGCAGATTGAATATGTATACTGTATAAAGTGTGTACCGTACGCTGAGGATAAACGTATTGCTACGAGGTAGAGCTCCGTTATAGAGTACACCCAGAACATACATGCTCTGTATACTCCACCATTTACTTGCATATATATCCAAGAAAAGAGACAATATGTGTAAAAACCCCACCGATACACCAGCCTGAACCACCTGTTACGTATTTCCATTTTTTAATTTTTTTCTTTCTTTAACACGTACTCCCCACCAAAAAAAAGTGCATGAATGTCGTTATTGAAAAAGAATAAAAAATAAAAAAGATGTTGAAGGCTTACACGTAGTTGCTTGTTATTAATGAGTGGGAGCTAGCTAGCTATGTAATACACTATGAGATCACGTGAATACTTAGTCACGTGGTCACATGACTGAGGCGGCTCAACACCCCCCCCATGCCACTTTGCTGGCATCCCAGCCGCTGCTCTCTATTACCTTTCAACTCGTTCAAATCCGCAATGAAAGTTAATTACATGAAGTAGACTCTACTTGCCTAATAAGGCCTAGGTCCATACGCTCAAATACTATAAAACCAGTAAAATTCAACCCACTAGCCCGAGCATCTCGATCGCCCGGGTATTCATCTCGTAACTTAATGCCTTGGTCAGACAATCCGCTGCCATACCCGCGCTCTCAATGTGACACAGCTTAATGGTCCCTTTGCGGACCTCATCCCTGACATGGTGGAAGCGTATGTCAATATGGCGCACGTTCCGCGTCACCTTTTCGCCATTTGCCACCGCTATCGCGCCCGTATTGTCGATGTTCATGATGGTAGGAGCAGGTGAACTGCCATCCGCAAGACCCAGCTCATTAAGTAGGCCGCGGATTCGAATCACTGTCTTAAGCGCCTCACTGCACGCAACGTACTCGGCTTCAGTTGTTGACAGCGCCACTACCCCTTGCTTTGAGGATTTCCACGAGATTGGGCCACCGGCCAGCAAAATCACCATTCCAGAGGTGGACTTCCGGTCCCCAACATCACCCGCCCAATCTGAATCTGAAAACGCGTTTAATTTAGTGCCGACTTCCGCGGTATGGCGGTAGATGATTCTCAGGCTCTTGGTTCCCTTGAGATAACGAAGCAGGTGTTTAACCGCCGCCCAGCATGCTGTTGTAGGCTTACTAGCCCAACGCCCCAAATAACCGACCGCGAATGCAATGTCGGGCCTTGTATACGTGGCCAGGTGCTGTAGGGTGCCAACTGCCGCTCTGTACAAACTCTCATCAAATGGGTCACCTCCCTCGGGGGCGAATCCTGGATCCATGGGGGTTCGAACGGGGTTGCACTCTGTCATGTTGAATTTCTTAAGGGCCTGGTCAATATACACCTCTTGAGATAAGCAAATTCCCTCGTCCCCGCGTTCTACTTTCATACCCAGGTAGTGACGCGCCTCACCCAAGTCCTTAATGTTGAACTCCTTCGCGATCAATTTCGCCGTATCCTCTAGGGCACCCTCGTCGGGCCCCACTAGCTTCATATCATCAACGTACAACGTCAAATACACCTGCTTCTCGCGGTTATACCACAGCCCAGAGTCCCATTCGCTAGCGACGAATCCAATTTTTCCCAAGTAGGAGGTTATGAGGTTGAACCAATTCCGGGGAGCCTGCTTTAATCCATATAGGCACTGTACTACTAAACAGACATTCTTCTCTGGGTCCCCAACCTCGAATCCTTTCGGCTGTTGCATATAGGGCCTTTCACCCTCAGGGAGTTCTGCATTTAAAAACGCCGTCACGAAGTCGATTTGGCGAATCTTCCATCCTTTTGAGGCTGCGACTGCAAAAATCGTGCGGATTGTATCCGCGGATATGACGGGGGCGTATGTCAAGTCGTAATCTACACCCTTCTTTTGACGGAACCCCTGAACCACCCAACGTGCCTTGTAGCTTGTGATTTTTCCGTCTTCATCTGTCTTAATTCTGTACACCCACTTACCCCCTAACACAGAGGCCTTGGACGGTCGTTGGACAATTTCATAAAGTTCATGATCTTGAGCGCTTTGAATCTCCTTCTTCATCGCGGCAAGCCAGTTCTCCTTTTGCGGGCTTTCTATCGCTTCCCCATATGTATTTGGGACGCGGATCCCTGCGACAATCTCGTGATTAGGCTTTTTAAATGCCTTCCAACCCTTAAACGGTTGGCGGGCGACTTCTTCATCAGTGTCATCATCAATATTCTCCCTCTGCCCGGCTACGGCTAGTTGGGCCTTTGGCTTATTTTTGCTACCTTTTGGCCGTCCGCGCTTCTTTCCAGTCGTCCCCTGGGCTGATGGGAAAAGCTGGTCCTTTTTGGGTTGTTCCGCAGGGGTTATTTCAGTTTGTAGAGGGGAGTCCTCAGGAACAGGGGGATTGTAGGAAATCTGCTGGTCAACCTTCTCAGGTTCACCACTGGGGGTATTATAAGAAATCTCTGACGTCTTGCGATCGTCCAGAGCAGGGCCAACTAGGCGGTTTAATGTCGCACTTTCATTGAACTCTACGCTACTACTAACAACAACTTCCTTAGTAGTGGGGTTCCATAAACGGTAGGCATAGCCCCCGTAATATCCTATAAGGATGTGGCGTTCGCTGCGGGCTGCGAACTTCGATTTTTCCTTTTGGTTACCAACCTTTAATGCGTAGCAGGGGGTCCCAATCGCGCGTAGAGCACTTGCCCGCTTGTAAGGTTTCCCATCCCATGCTTCAAAACTCGTCATTGAACTCCAACGTCCTTCGGGTACAATCTCACTATATAATTCGGTCGAGGTAGGGGTGATGTTTGAGATCAGAGTCGCGGTTAGCATGCACTCCGCCCACATTTCAGGTGGGAGACCTGCTTGGACCATCATAGTGCGCGCCTTCATAGCTACGTCCTGAATCGCTCGTTCACTTACCCCGTCCTGCCAGGGAGCATACGGCTCCGTCGGTTCCCATTTAACCCCATGTTTGGTGAGGACATTTTGTGTCTTTTGGCCCCCAATTTCAGTCGCAAAATCAGACCTTGCAAACGCGACATTAACACCCAATCCTTTTAGGTGTTTGAGGTGGAATTCAACCGCATCAGGGGCTTCGCTTTTTGCTCTGAGGAAATAGGTGAACTTGTAACGAGTGGCGTCATCAACCACTAGGAGCGCGTATTTGTAACCCTGATTGCTAGGTGAAAAGACATTCAACCCATCACCAAGACTCTCACCACCGCCCGCGAGGTCGAAATGAATCCTATATCCACGATTCTTCGCCCGTGGCATGGGGATCCGTGAGATCTTGGTTTTCGCTTTTGAAAGTTTGCACGTCTCGCAGAAGGGCATCTTCAAATCCCCTTTGATAACTATACCCGACTGGGGGTCTTTCGCCAGTTTCAGAATGTCCCTTTCATTGAGGTGACCCAGACGGACGTGCCATGCAAATAGGGTGTTAGCCAGATTAGGAACGACTGATTTAGCCACTGCCGCTATTGCGGCTTCTTTGGTGCCATGTATGGGGAAGACGCGTGAGTTGTTTATCGTTGCGTAAAAGACCTCGCCATCTGGGGCCTTGATCTTAAACCCGTACATTTTACTGTCCTCTCCCCGAAGTAGCTCAAAGTCGAACCCATCACATAACAACTGACCAAAGCTGACGAGATTACTTGCCACATCTGGAGTGTAATTCGTTTCGTTTAGGCGTAGGGTCGACCCATTCAACATAACATTCGCCTCGCCAACTGCTTTCGTGCGGATAGAGCCTCCATTGGCGTCCTCCGCAAAATTTCCGTCATCTGAGGGCCGCAGACTGCTGAGCACCTCCATATTGGGTGTTATATTGCCCGAACACCCAGTGTCTAAATACCAATTCGGATCGCGTTGAGGACGTAACGCGGCCAGTCCCTTCAATGAGCTCTGGAATTCGGGTGGTTCCTCGCCGTTTTTCTTAGCAAGTTCCTCAATCTTTGCTTTTCGGGACTGCTGCCACTCCTCACTCTGATCTCTCCAGTTCTTGTAGTGACAATCCTTCTTTATGTGGCCTGGGTAGCTGCAGTAGTGACATTTAACCCCAGTCCTTTCCTTGTCCGAACGCTGCGAATTTTGGGTGTTTTGTGAGGTGCTCGGATTGGTGTTCTGCGACGTGTTCAACTCCTTTGAATTTTTGGTAGTCAGGGTGTTTGAGCTCTGCGAACCCTCTTTTTCACTGTCCTTAGCCTTCTTGGACTGCATCCCTTTACCCGTGTCCTTCTTGACGACAGTCTTTAGTCGTATAAGCTCGTCGATAAGATCATCTAGGTCGTACACAGGGATGTGATTTTTGTCATGCCCGTTCCGCAAGTTCTTGAGATAATTTTGTACCCAGTCCTGATTGTGGGTTTTTAACGCGTCAACAAAGCGTTGTCGGAGGTACGCATCTGGCAGCGCCCATCCTTTTGCTGCGATTTCATTAACTGTTTGACGCCAGTCCTGCACAAAGGGGGTGAGATCCCCCCCATGCCAATAGATGTTCATATGGGAGATTCGACTGTATAACGTGTTTTGGTGATCCGCCGCGTGAACCTGGTATTCAAGTTCCAATGCTCGCCACAGAGCTGCGGTGTTCCCCATTTTTCCGGTTTCCTCATCACCCTGTAGTTTTGACTGCGCGAGGGTCTGGGCATTTGACTTCATATTATTCCATATACATTCCCACATCCGCCTGTTCTTATAGCTCCATATCTTGCTCTCATCAGGGGTGGAGTCCTCGGGTGCTTGCTCCTCGTATTTGGTGAGAATGGTGTTGGCCTCCAGCAGTACTGCTCTCGCCATAACTTCGCGTTTGAACGCCTCAAAGTTTGAGGCCCCTGCAAGCTTTTCATTCAGCGACAAGCTGACGTGGTCGTGTTCATCCTTGAATTCTTTAAGGGCAGACATTGAGCCCCCATTATTGCTGCTACCCGTTGACAATGTGATTCCCATCTTTGCTGCCCATCGCTGTTGTGCCACTTGTGCGGCCAACTCTGCTGGGAACCCCTGTGCCACCAACCGATTGTATGTTGTTGCCAGTTCAGAGACATCATCGCCATCTGAGGTTCGACGCGTGTGGGAGCCTGAGGGCTCTCCACCACCTGTCGAACGTCCTGTCGATTCATTAGCCATATCGCGTCTCTTTACCTGTTTGACGGTAATGGGGGTCGGCTGTTGTGGGAATGTAGGTGGTCTGCTAGGGGTCTCAGGTGGGGATTCTATATCGTTGCTTTCGTCCGCAGTTGAGTAACCTATATCCAGGTCTTTTTCTGACTGCATACGTGCCTTTAGACGTGTATTGTAGCCTGTGGATGATGTCGGTGGCATCCGAGCCGTAGGATAGAGGAATTTGCCGTGCCCGGACGCGTTCTCAGCGCACCAGTTAGGTCAACAATTCCAATTCCTGACCGAAATCTCCGTAAAAGTGTCTATAGAGCTCTTGCTCTCAATTTCGGAGGTTCTGGATCGAACTGACGCGCCTCTAACACAAGAGGGCCATAACCTGTTGAAGGCTTACACGTAGTTGCTTGTTATTAATGAGTGGGAGCTAGCTAGCTATGTAATACACTATGAGATCACGTGAATACTTAGTCACGTGGTCACATGGCTGAGGCGGCTCAACAAACAGACAATAATGATTTTTTGTTTTTTACTTTGTATGAGAATCAAACACTTGTTTCAATTAGATTAACTCATATTCATCATTACTTCATTCATTTTCTGAAGCAGTGAAGAATGTCTGATTCTTTTTAAAATCAAAATCTCCAAGCCTCATATCTTGTATATCTCTTGATTCTTTACAATAAATGAATGCAGATAAAATTGTAGTTTCATTTGTATAAATATCAGTAAATAAACAAATAAATTCTCTACTGTCATTCTGTATTGCTTCAATTATATGCTTTCATTTAAAAGCTTTTATAGAAACAATTCACTTAAAAGTATGAAGAAGATTAAAAAGAAAACCTTTTTCATTGAAATTATAAATATTTTGAAAAAGAATATTATACTGCTTGATCTTTTTCTACAACTATTCAATAAAAGTCAGCAAAAAGCTGATAAAATTGTATATGAAAAGAAGCAAAAAAACTGCAATTACAAGAATAAAGAATTGTTTAAAATAGTAGCTATTATCTGTCTACTTTCTCTTTTAATTCAAAGTGTGAAAATAGATACTCTTGATCTTTACTTTATATCATTTATCAAAATGAAACATTCAGTTGATTTCTACTTGCATTTTGATGATCTCAAATACAAAATTGCACAGTATTTGAAGTGTCACAGGGAAGCCACAATCAGATAACTGATTAATATGAAATAGAAGATATTGTTCTTCAGTATTTATGAGATTCTGATAATAGATTGATGTTGCCTATGTTCTGAAGATCTGTTGATCTTTAAACCACCACATCAAGATAACATGATTGATTCTGAATTCCTTTGCAACCTCAGCATATTTAGAAATCAATTGTCAATTCAATTGAGCAATTGCTTGCTCTATAATCACTTCATTGGGTGGCATGGTGGGTGGTTGAAATTGAAGAGTTGCAGGGATTCATGGAAAAAATAGCAGTTCGTTGGGTGGATGAGTTCATTGGGTGGTGAGTCACGTTACTCGGATTGCTTGGCGCGAAGACAAAAGCAGAGCTCCTTGGTTCCCTTGTTTTATTTAAACGATATATCGCGTATTGTTCTTTGTTTCTTTCTTTCTTCCTTTTTTTTTTTTTTTCTCCCGGAGCGTGATTATGCATATGTATGTGCAAGAATATCTCGATTAAAACGATGTTCATGAAAGACAAGAAGAGAGGCGATGGATTCATTTCAACATCTTATTGATCTGGTGAAAGGAGAAGAAGATGCACGAGGATACATTCTGCTTGCGTATGGGCTGCTGGAATGAATTATCTTATAAGTTCTTACTTCAACAAACGATAGTGTTTTGGGTGGACTCCTGTATTGACAGTTTTCGCTCGGACGAGGGGCGGATTTTCATGACTTCATACTTGGGGATATGGTCAGCGAGGATTCATTCATTCATTTATCAGTGTGGTCGAGAAAACTTGGTAGAACAATAGTAGTATGCTATGTTGAGCAATAGAGAGAAGTTTGATATTGGATGAGAGTTCTGAGGAAAACTACCACAAGGGGAAAAGGGTCGAGGCATTTTTTATTCTATGAATCAGATAATTAAACACAGCTTTTCAACTCTTTTTCCAATTATACTTTGTCATTCGACATTTTCTCTAAGTATCCCATATTTCCCTCCCCAAGACAGGCCGGAAACATTCACCTGACCAATCAAGATGCGTTTCTCGCTTTTACCTAGAGAGCGCAATATCGTCAATTCGTAGGATCAGCTTCACTGTTTCAGCTGCAAGCTCGATCGCACTCGTGCTCACGAGCAGCGGCTGCAGCACCTTCTCGTCCGCAATATTGTCCTTAACCCCTCCACTTCGGATGCTCACTCCGGCATTCTTCTCTCCCATGGCGTGTCGGTGACGGAGGTCGGTAACGACCTTTATGCCATTCAATCCGGCATTCTCTGCGAGAGTTGTAGGGATAACCTCCATTGCATCGGCGAAAGCTTTCCAGCATATCGCTTCCGTGCCTGTGAGAGCCCGAGATTGTTTCGCTAAGGCTTGTGAGACTTCGATCTCCGGTGCACCGCCGCCGGCAATGAGGGCGCTTTTTTTAACGAGGCATCGGATCACACAGAGGGCATCGTGGAGGGATCGCTCCACTTCGTCGAGGACTAGGCTATTTGCACCGCGGGCCACAATTGAAACTGTCTGGTTTGCAGCTGCTGATTTGATGCCAGTCACCTTGGTGTAGCGGGATCCTGCAGATTGAACCTCCTCGATTAAGTCTGCGGTTCCGAGTTTGTCTTCCGTAAATGAGTCGATGTTGGCAATGGGTTTGCAGCCTAAACTTTTGCAGAGAAATTCTACTTCATCACGTTCAATGTCCTTTACAGCCATGATCTTTACGCGGGAGAGGAAGTAGAGAGAGATGTCGTTAACGGCATCGCGGAGGATGGATTTTTGGATCAAGAGCACATTGCACTTGGTTTTGGCAATCTTCTTCACCATGTTTAGAAGATACATGCGCTCTTCCTTAATGATCTTGTCCATCTGTCGATAGTCATTTACTACGATTTGATTTTCCATCTGGGACCATGGTCAGCATTCAATGATGAGCTGGAAAATGATATGGACGTACATCTGGTTTAGGAGGGCTTAGTTGAAATTGAATTAATGCAATTCGAGCCTTCTCAACTCTGACGGGGCCGCCAGCGCTTTTCAGGACCCCTTGATTCAGGATCAGACCATCTACCATTTCGCTGTCTTCAATTGTGCCTCCAACTTTCTTCACTATACGGATATTTCGAAGGTCAACGTTGTCAGCTGTTTTAGGATCTATAGTTTTTAGCACGGAGTCAACGGCGATGGGCCCGAGCAGGTTTGAATATTGGGAGACGATTTTCGAGGACAACGACGTTGAAGCGGCTTGAAGAAGTGTTGCTCGATCTGAAAGGGAAATAGGCTGGGACATGTCGTGAAGAATCTGAACTGCGGCGGCGGCGGCTCTCTGGAAAGATTCCGAAATAGTAGTTGGGTGTATTCCTGCTAAAGATATCAGCTGCTGATAAGGATGAATGTGAATGAACAAGGGAAGAATCCCATCCCACCTTTCGCCAACAATCGATCCGCGGCTCCCAATAAGCTTCCTGCAATAACAACGACAGACGTAGTTCCATCGCCAGCTTCCACATCCTGCGCAGCACTAAGGTCCACCAACATTTTTGCAGCTGGGTGCATAACAGCCATGTCTTTTAACATGGTGTTTCCATCGTTCGTCTATGGCTCGGGTTAGATACCTGTAAATAATAATGGGGAGGCCGTAGAGCGTACAATTATGGTTTCGCCTTTCCCAGTTTGAATCTACTACAAATCAGCCTAGTAGTTCCTTATCATATTCACCATGTTGTGATTAAAATTTACCATCTTGTCCATCCCTCTTGGACCCAATGACTGCTTCTCGGTCAGCCCCATGTTCTATGTTGAGAGTGGATGTTTAAGGGCGCAATACCGTCCTTATAGCATCGGCAACAGCTATGAGAACATTTAGCAAGTGATTGTGAATAAGCCATAAGTTATACATACCTCTAGCTGCCATGATATTGCCGGCCCGCACGGCCATGGGTTTCTCTTTGTCCTATTATACCCAGTGAGTAAATATTAGGAGGGAAAAGGCAGATGATGTGAGGCCCAAACCTTGAAGCTGTTGTTCCCGACATTGCCAGAGGCGCTCATAGTAGACGCCATCTTAGATGTCTATATAGATGACGCGCTATACAACGAGATAATGGTGTTAATGGAGGGGTCGTTGGGAGTTGTCCAAAAACTACGGACTCTTGGTCAACAGTGATGCTTGGCGATCATTGACGCTAGTGCGGTGAAAAGCTCTTGCGAACCTTACATAACCATCTGAGTTTCCCGAAGCTAAGTTACCAACATCACAACACACAACCAGACGCATCACTGTCCATACCAAACTCGCCGTGCTACCTATTCATAATATATTTACTTAGTGGCTGCTTCAAGACCGTCGACCTTGATCCTATCTCTCACCGCCCTTCTTGCCATTTCGCCAGCATGCCCAGCGCCACGGGCCAGAACTGGGAGAAGTACAAGAAGAACTTTGCAGATGATGAAGAGCCAGAGAAGAAGATTACACCGCTAACAGATGAGTACGTCGTGTATCTCATCGTTCGTTCTGCGTCAACTCTGGAATTCTTGGACTAATCTATCCTGTAGGGACATCCAAGTCCTCAAGACCTATGGCGCAGCCCCATACGCGGCCGCGTTGAAAAAGCTCGAAAAACAAATCAAGGAGAAGCAAACAAGCGTCAACGATAAGATCGGAGTAAAGGTATATGGTTCTATTATACATTTAGTATTGGGGTGATGATGAAACTCACCATTCTCAGGAATCCGACACCGGGCTTGCGCCACCGCACCTGTGGGATGTTGCAGCAGATAGACAACGAATGCAAGAAGAACAGCCACTACAAGTCGCACGCTGTACGAAAATTATACAAGATGAGAAGGATCCGGAAAAAAGTAAATATGTCATCAACGTTAAACAGATAGCCAAGTTCGTTGTGAACCTTGGGGAGCGAATCAGCCCTACGGATATTGAAGAGGGCATGCGTGTTGGGTAAGATTTTCTATCCATCTGAATACAATCGGTGGACTGCGAGCTGATGATATATACTTAGGGTGGACCGAAATAAATACCAGATTCTTCTCCCTTTACCTCCTAAGATTGACCCAAGCGTTACGATGATGACAGTTGAAGACAAACCTGATGTGACCTATGGAGACGTTGGAGGATGTAAGGAACAAATTGAAAAACTTCGAGAAGTTGTCGAAATGCCACTGCTGTCCCCAGAACGATTCGTCAGTCTAGGAATCGACCCACCAAAGGGAGCTTTGCTTTATGGTCCACCTGGAACAGGAAAGACTCTGTGTGCCCGAGCTGTGGCCAACCGAACGGATGCCACTTTCATTCGGGTTATTGGCAGTGAGTTGGTGCAGAAATACGTTGGAGAGGGAGCTCGAATGGTGCGTGAACTCTTTGAGATGGCTAGGACAAAGAAGGCGTGCATCATTTTCTTCGACGAGATTGATGCGATCGGAGGGGCGCGTTTTGATGATGGTGCCGGAGGAGACAACGAAGTACAAAGGACTATGTTGGAACTGATCACCCAATTGGACGGGTTTGATTCTCGAGGAAACATCAAAGTCATGTTTGCTACCAACAGACCATCCACTCTTGATCCAGCGCTGATGAGACCGGGACGCATTGACAGGAAGATCGAGTTTTCTTTACCAGACTTGGAAGGGCGGGCTAACATTCTGCGCATTCATGCCAGAAGTATGTCGATGGAACGAGATATCAGATGGGAACTTATTTCTCGGCTCTGCCCAAACTCGACCGGGGCAGAGCTTCGAAGCGTGGCAACCGAAGCGGGAATGTTCGCCATCCGAGCCCGGCGAAAGGTCGCAACGGAGAAAGATTTTCTGGCTGCAGTTGATAAGGTGATAAAGGGGAACCTGAAGTTCAACTCGACTGCAACATACATGCAGTACAACTAAAACATCAGCATACTGCAGGAGATATTGCACCGTACGATGGCGGAATAAGGCATACAATAATCCCAGTTCCTAGAAGCACTGTGTTTAGATTCTTATTTTCGTTAGAGCAATGGAATATATACACGTCTAAATGTAATACATCATTCTCGTTTGAACCATCATGTGAACGGACCAACTCGGAAAGATTACCTCTACATCCGTTGTGATTGGCTGCTGGTGGGACCTCTGCGTCGGAACCAGGCAAAGACCAGCTTATGTAACGGTCCTATAACCACCACTCTTCACTAACTTCGTCGTCCAAAGATCAAACTCAGTTTTAGATGTCCCGTCTCAACAACGCCTCCAGTTAGTGCTTTGACTTAATTGGATCTCCCAGTGTTCTGTGTTAGACTTGAGGCATCATGAGCTTTTCCGGATTGCGGAGCCTGGCTTCCGCGACGAGGGTATGGCACCTACGATTCCCCTCGTCCTCAGCACCCAAGCCATTGTACGTACTGACAAGTGTTTTCTCTATAGTTTTCCAACGCATTTAAGGATCAAAGACGTCTATTTTCTTCTTCACGTCCCACAGGTATGCCATGGGCCCCTTGCCAACATTGGAAGCGTTGCCAATTGACCCGCAAAAGCCAGGATATTCGCGAATCAACCTCTCCGGGCGAAAGAAGCCCCTCCCTTCGTTCCGAAAAATTATCCCGTAATCGTACGTGGTCTCCCCGCCGTCTCGAATTATCTATAATCTCCGAAATGAGAGTGTTCTGACGATTCATAGGACCACGAATATGATGCCGTCGTTGTTGGAGCTGGTGGTGCTGGTCTCCGTGCTGCCTTCGGCCTTGCGGAGGCAGGTTTCAACACAGCTTGTGTTTCAAAATTATTTCCTACACGAAGCCACACGGTAGCAGCTCAGGGAGGTATTAATGCTGCCCTTGGAAAGTACGTTTTCTCAATGCCGTGGCATCTATTTGAAGCAATACGAAGGTGTGCGCTGATTTTGAGAATCTAGTATGCACGAGGATGACTGGAGATGGCACATGTACGATACCGTCAAGGGATCCGATTGGCTGGGTGACCAGGATGCTATCCATTACATGACAAGAGAGGCACCTCAAAGTATCATTGAACTTGAAGGATATGGATGTCCATTTTCGAGAACAGAGGACGGTAAAATCTATCAGCGTGCTTTCGGTGGACAGTCTCAGAAGTACGGCAAGGGAGGCCAAGCTTACCGATGCTGTGCTGCTGCTGACAGAACCGGACACGCTCTTCTTCACACTCTTTACGGCCAATCACTCCGACACAACACCAACTATTTTATCGAATATTTCGCATTGGATCTTCTCATGGAGGATGGTGAATGCAAAGGCATAATTGCATACAATCAAGAAGATGGCACTATTCATCGCTTCCGCGCACACAACACCGTTCTTGCAACAGGAGGATACGGCCGTGCTTACTTCAGCTGCACATCCGCCCACACTTGTACCGGTGATGGTATGGCCATGGTTGCCCGTGCTGGCCTGCCCAACCAGGATCTGGAATTTGTCCAATTCCACCCCACGGGTATCTATGGTGCGGGTTGTCTTATCACAGAAGGTTCTCGAGGCGAAGGTGGCTATCTGCTGAACTCTGAGGGTGAGAGATTTATGGAACGATATGCTCCAACTGCCAAAGATCTGGCTAGTCGAGACGTTGTTTCGCGATCGATGACTCTCGAGATCCGCGAGGGACGTGGTGTTGGCCCTGAAAAGGACCATATATACCTGCAACTCAGCCATCTTCCTGCTGAAATCCTCCATGAGCGATTGCCTGGTATCTCAGAAACCGCATCCATTTTTGCCGGCGTTGACGTTACCAAGCAACCTATTCCCGTTCTCCCAACTGTTCACTATAACATGGGCGGTATCCCAACTCGTTATACCGGCGAGGTTCTCACGTTAGATGAGAAGGGTCAAGATAAGGTAGTTCCGGGCTTGTATGCTTGTGGCGAAGCCGCTTGTGTTTCTGTCCATGGTGCCAACAGACTTGGTGCAAACTCGCTGCTTGATCTCATTGTATTCGGCCGGGCAGTCTCCCACACCATTCGTGATAAGTCATCGCCTGGTCAACCACATAAGGAGATTAGTGCAGATGCTGGAGCTGAATCGATTAGCGTTCTTGACAAGGTCAGAACTGCAGAGGGATCTAAATCGACATTTGACATTAGAAATGCTATGCAAAAGACTATGCAAACTGATGTTAGCGTTTTCCGAACGCAAGAAAGTTTGGATGAGGGTGTCCGCAAAATTAAGGAGGTTGATCAGATGTTTGATGATGTGGGAACCAAGGACCGCAGCATGATTTGGAATTCCGATCTCGTTGAGACTCTCGAACTGAGAAACTTGCTGACTTGCGCGTAAGTTCCCCTCTCCAATATATCCCACACCAATTTTTCAATTTTTCAAATTTTCAATTTTCAATTTTCAATTTTCAATTTTTTTTTTTTTTTTTTTTTTTTTTTTTTTTCATTTATAAATGGGTTTTCTTGTTTGTTAATGGACTATAGTACGCAAACTGCTGTTGCCGCTGCCAACCGCAAGGAATCCCGTGGTGCACATGCCCGCGAGGACTACCCAGACCGTGATGACGAGAACTGGATGAAACACACATTGACCTACCAAAAGCAGCCTCATGGCAAGGTCGACCTTACCTACCGTGCGGTAAATCCCAATACGCTCGATGCGAATGAGTGCAAGCCTGTGCCGCCATTCAAGCGGACGTATTAGATGTATTGTCTGTGAGACTGAAGTTTGTATGGCTCGGGATCGCCTATGGTGTACCGGGGAAATAACACACGGGAGGTCTTATCTCCTGTATGTTCCATTATATAACCAATCTTTTTTTTAATTTGGTTTCTCTTGAGTTCTTTTGCGTCGCGAGTTTTCCTTCCATTTACCTCTTCTTCTAGTTTCTACCTTGTTTTCTGTGAATACTTTATCTAAGCGTATGTTTTTTTACTTAAAATTCTTGCTCATCTGCGTTGCCTGGCAAGCCGTATAGGCTGCTCATTGTACCATATTCCTATGAACCAGCGTGGAAGTAAAATGTGATAGGTGGTTGCGAGATGAGGCTATGAAAAAGCGGCGAATATCTAAATTACAAATATTTGACCTTTGAACAATCCGATGCTCTGTCTGAATATTCAATCAACACAACGTTTACTTAGCTAGTTATCGTAACCGACCTTCCGTCCTTCATATGTAGTTTGTCGTTACTGCTGGGTTAAGGCCTGTGCACACTAACCGCACTTGGCGCTTATGAGCTAAACTCGCATATCATTGGACAACTCTGACCTTTCCGCATTGGCACAGGCCTCAAGTGGCTTAGCTTTGTCTCCTTACTCTGTCCGCTACTCTCCATTGACCCTGCCATAGAGTCATCTGGATGTCATCCACTGTGCTGTCCACCCTATTCATTCGGTGATATGCTGCAGCTGAATTGGAAGTTAATCCTTCTCTGAGATTGGCCACTGCAATGGCTACGGAGAAAGGACACAGCAGGGATGATGAGGAAAGGGTGCCGCTAACTCGAGGGAGCACAGAATTCCGTAACTCAATAGACTCATTCGATTACTCGTCCTCCACCGCTTCGCTGTCTCTCGCCGTCATTGACAGAATCAATAATTCGACGCAAGATGCGGGGCTAAGCGAGAAAGGGCCCCGTGACGATGACGACGATCGGTACTGGGACGACGACGTTGAGTATGACGTCGAGGATGCGGACTATATCCCGTCCGGAGGGAAGCCGATGCACAAAAGTGTTAAGATAGCGTTGTGGTCACTTTTATTCCTCTCTCTGGGTGGATGGTCTCTTGCCTTCGTCCTTTTTATATTCAGGAGTCACGACACATACCAAACGCCCATCTTGTCAGAGGATAACATATCAAGTGGAGGGCTTCGAGGGGATCGGATAACGTTGGACGACGTGCTTGGGGAAGAATGGATGCCGCGTCACCACTTTATATCGTGGTTCCCAGGTCCGAATGGCGAGGATGGATTGCTTCTTGAGAAAGATGGCCCCGGATCTACTGGATACTTGCGCGTGGAAGACATTGTCAGTCGCAAGGATACGAATTCTTCCAAAGGCTCTATTGTTTTGATGCAGAAGAATACTTTTACAGTGGGAGGAGAAACCGTCATCTGCTCTCAGGTTTGGCCGAGCCCGGATTTGAAGACGGTTCTGGTGCTATCCGAGAAAAAACAGAACTGGCGCCATTCGTTTACTGGGAAGTATTGGCTGTTTGATGTGGATACTCAAACGGGACAGCCACTCGACCCCGCTGCTCAAGATCAGAGGATCCAGCTTGCTTCTTGGTCTCACAAATCAGATGCTGTTGTGTTCACAAGAGATAATAACATGTTTCTTAGAAAACTAAGTTCAAAGGAAGTTATAACGATCACTTCTGATGGCGGTGTTGACTTGCTTTATGGAGTGCCGGATTGGGTTTATGAGGAGGAGGTATTTTCAGGCAACAGCGCGACTTGGTGGGCACATGATGGCAACTATATTGCATTCCTTCGGACCAATGAGTCTGCGGTGCCTGAGTACCCTATACAGTATTTCGTGTCCCGACCAAGTGGGGAGGACCCCAATCTTGGTGAAGAGAATTATCCCGAAGTGCGGGAAATTAAATACCCCAAAGCTGGCGCACCGAATCCCATCGTAGATCTCCAATTCTATGATATTAGGAAGGGCGAAATCTTTTCAGTGGACGTTGCGGATAGATTTCCCGATGACAATCGCCTCATCATTGAGGTTCTGTGGGCCTCGAATGGGAAGGTTCTTGTCAGAGAGACTAACCGAGAAAGTGATATTCTTATCATTGCCGCTATCGATGTGTTATCGAGGACTGGAAAAATTGTCAGAAAAGAAGATATAAATGCTTTGGATGGCGGCTGGGTGGAGCCGACACAATCTACGCGGTTTATTCCTGCGGACCCGAGTAATGACCGGCCTGAGGATGGCTACATAGATACGGTCATCCATGAAGGACGTGATCAGCTAGCCTACTTTACGCCTCTCGATAATCCTAAACCTCTCATCCTCACAAAAGGTCACTCCGAGGTCGTGAATTCTCCGTCAGGTGTAGACCTGAAGAGAGGGCTGGTTTATTTCGTTGTTGCTGGCAATGAGCCGTGGGAACGACATGTCTATAGCGTAAAATTTGATGGGACTGCACTTCAGCCAGTGACGAATGTGTCGGAGAGCAGTTATTATGATGTCTCTTTCTCAGACGGCGCCGGATACGCTTTGTTAAATTTCCGGGGGCCCAAAGTACCTTGGCAGAAGGTTATTAGCACTCCCGCCAACGAAAACCCGTTTGAAGAAATTATAGAGCAGAATAACCACCTGTCTAGAAAGCTTCGTCTCTTTTCCCTGGAATCGAAAGTTTTCCAGTATATCAATATTGACGGTTTCTCGCTACCCGTGTTAGAACGACGTCCGCCAAATTTCGACCCAACGAAAAAATATCCTGTTCTTTTCTATTTATATGGCGGGCCCGGGTCACAAACCGTTGACAAAAAGTTCGGTGTCGATTTCCAGAGCTATGTTGCTTCTACTCTGGGATATATTGTTGTGACTGTGGATGGTCGAGGCACCGGTTATATTGGCCGGAAATCCCTCAGCTTAGTTCGAGGAAAGCTTGGGCATTATGAGGCTCGAGACCAAATAGAAGTTGCCAAAAAATGGGCGGCAAAACCATATGTTGATGAGTCTAGGATGGCCATATGGGGCTGGAGCTACGGAGGTTTTATGACTCTGAAGACGATCGAGGAGGACGGGGGACGAACATTTCAGTATGGAATGGCGGTAGCACCGGTGACTGATTGGCGGTATTATGGTATGCGGCCTTTGGGCCCTAAAATATATACCTTTTGGCATTATTTAAGCTAACATTTATTCAGATTCCATATATGCCGAACGTTATATGCACACCCCTCAACACAACCCGCAGGGTTATGACAGTTCCGCTATTTCCAACACTACCGCGTTAGCAAACAGTGTTCGTTTCCTGGTGATGCATGGAACAGCTGATGATAACGTCCACATCCAAAACACGCTGACCCTGCTCGATAAACTGGACCTGGCCAACGTTGATAACTACGATGTTCACGTCTTTCCAGACTCCAACCACAATATCAATTACCATAATGCGCATAAAATGGTTTACACTCGTAAGTTTTTTCTTATGGTCGTATATTGTAGCAATTTTCTATTTTAGCATTTTAACTAAATGAATTTCCTTCCATATAGGCCTTGCTGACTGGCTCGTCAACGCTTTCAATGGTCAATGGCTGAAGACCAATAATCCTACACCGAACGATTCTCTATTTCGACGCGTGGCCACATGGGCTGGTCTATATAAATTCAAACACCTGTGTTGAAATGGATTGCTATGTACCCGCATCCACAGACCTCTTTACGATTCTTTTTGCGGGCATCATAATGAAAGTTGTGCATGTGCAAGACCACTTTGGCATGTATATTTACTATCTGCATAAATTTTGGAAGCTGGAGTGTGCTAGGTTCAATTTCTTTTGTATATTTTTTTCGGTTTTTTCTTTTGCCATTCTCTGGTCCCGGCGTTTAGGCACAGCGTATTATACTTTTGGATCCACTAGATCTCATGGCTCTGGATAGCATTCTCTTTCGGAATATGATAGCCCTTGCATCCTATCTGGCAATTCACAAACCTGTGAGAAATATATATCAATAATATCAATGTTTTTGAGTCGGTAAAATCATTCTCACCAGCTGCTTGGGTCATGTGACAACTCACTTCCAAGGGACATCTCGTCTTCCATATCTGCAAAAGTTTCCAAGGGGTCCCTCCAATAATTCGAAACCCACCAGGGTCTGTCGCGGGAAGAGCAGAGTTCATCCTCAATGGCCTTCATATTATTCGCACTGGGGTCACAGGTATTCTGAAATTAGCATTTTGCCTAAGCATACCTTAATGGTAGTTTCCCCTTGTCCAGCAAGCTCTCTTTTTGGGACGGACCGATATCTGGTATGTTTGGGTAAGACAGGTTTACGAGCGAACTCACTGCCTGACGAATGATATGTCTCATTAAGAGGCCTTTTTCCATGCCTTTTCGTTTACATGTAGGGAGTCATCCTAATGGCTGTCCACTGCTCAATGCCTCGCTGTACTTCCTGAGGACACGCTTGAGCGTCCCCACAGTGAAATTTCTGATGAAATCAGCAGGTTGGGGCCTATATGTGTTTCAGAAAACCGAAAGAAGGGGTTCCTGTGAAATTTTCCTTTGATAGAACTCCAGCTCTGGCGGCGAAGGGAAGAAAACGCTGTTAATGTGCACAGTTTATCCACTTCATGATAGGATGCTCCTCTCTGCTCACAACCCTAGGCCAAGCTCACTATTGTTGCCCGTTTCTCACCCCATGCTGCTGCCGTTCCAGCCTAATTCTTCCTTGGGCTTAATTCCCCTAAGCCACCGCTGGCGGAAGAACACCCACAACGGACGAAACTTCTACCCCGCCATCACGTTCTCTTTGAAACGTGCGTTTCTAGGATAGTCGTAGACGTTGGGAGATGTGCTGTCTCAAACTATTTTTTATTTAGCAAATTATCAGAGCATTCTACTTCTCTGTGCCACAAAACCTGAAATCGAAATTGAGGCCAATTTAACTGGCTACTGATCTTAACGTCGCGCTTGGTATCTCGCGATGTCGTCAGTTGCCAAACCTGGTGCAAGATTCCCTCTCGAGGACAACAGAATTTCAGCCTTCTCGCCTCATGTCCAGGCTCATCTAAAGCACTTCTTTGACTCAACGAACGTGTCCGGGAATAATGAAACATTTCTTCGGGCCATCCAGCGCGAAACTCCAGGGGAACAACATGATATCAGAACATACGATGACTTCATGGTTTACATGTCATCTGCATACGCTCAAGCGCCCCCTGAACCACAAGATCTGTCGCTACCTATGAACAATTACTTTATCAGCTCGAGCCATAATACCTATCTTACTGGCAATCAATTGTATAGCGAATCAAGTACCAAGGTTTATAGAGATGTACGTCAAGTTTCATGTCTGACGCTCATTTTGGGTTTACTTGCTGCCGTTTCCCGCAGTTTCCCTTTCGTTTATCATTCTGTCTTGATTATAACATTACGAGCTGCCTCCGAGGGGTGGTTGTTCAAAGCGGCCCATGCACTTTGCCGGGAATGCATGATTTTTATTCTCTTTTTCTCAATTCACGATCAGAAATGCTCAGGGTGTGAGATAAGCCATGGGTGCCATATGCCTCATTTTTAATTCAAAATGTCATTGGAGAGTTCAAGCGGCGCCACTCATTTCCACAGACTTGTTGGTGCTTTGGCAGTCTTTGATCCCATTCATGATCGGAAATGCGTTCTAATATTGGATGGATAATGTTCCCAAAATTTATGATAAACTCCATTGCTTTTGCCTGAGGATGAAATTCTTGGTTGATGATGCATCCATGAGCTAACATAACATGCCACCGTTAGGTTCTTCTGAAAGGATGTAGATGTCTTGAAATTGATGTGTGGGATGGAGAACCGGACAGCTCCGATTCGTCGGCCTCTGAAAGCGACCATGGCGATCCTAAAGTTCCCCAGAAAAATCCAAAGAAGAATGGCAAAGATCGGAAAGGTGGTACTTTTAATCTGTCATCATTGTCAAACCAGTTGGATCGACTTTCTCGAGGATCGACCACGCAGCCTCAAGTCGCCGGTGCCGAAACTGCCGTGGTAACTACAACTGCATCTATGAGTCCACCCGGGGATGCGGGAACGGCAGCGTCAGCTGTTCAGCTGCGGCGGGAGCCTCTCGTTTTTCATGGTTATACTCTAACGAAAGAAATAACGTTCCGTGATGTGTGCAACACAATCCGAGATCATGCATTCGTCACCAGCGATCTGCCTATCATAGTGAGCCTGGAGGTTCATGCATGTCTTGAGCAGCAAAAGGTGATGGTGGATATCATAACGCAGGCATGGGAAGGGATGCTCATTGAACTTCCAGCTGATATTGAAGCTAAACTGGAGAGGGGTGAAGTTGAGCACTTGCCAGGCCCTGGAGAACTGCGAAGGAAGATTTTGATCAAAGTGAAATGGGCACCCCCCGAAACGGCGAGTCAAGCTGCGGACACACACGGAGCCTCCGGGGCAATTGGAAAAGCGAATTCAGAATCAATAGCTCAGGATGACGCTGTGAGAGGTAATGATCCGGGTGAGAACACTGGAGCAGCTCAGGCTACGAAAAAACCCCCGAAGATTTTACATTCTCTAAGCCGACTCGGTATCTACACGCGTGGGCACACTTTTAGTAAATTCTCACAGCAAGGTATGTTACCAATATCTACTTTTCAAGTTCCTACCAACAATAACGGCGCCAAAAGCTATATATAAGCAACCAAAAGTAGTGAAAGAGAACTACGTTTGTGGAGACACGAACGCAAGGAAATTGGCTCACTAGGATGTTTCTACAGAAGCAACCCAACCAAACCACATATTCTCCCTCTCAGAGTCAGCTGTGAGAGACGCCTATGAAAATGAACGCCAGGCACTTTTTGAGCATAATCGAGAATATATGATGCGAACGTACCCGTCCGGTCTGCGTGTAAATTCGTCTAATTTAGACCCCTCGTTTTACTGGCGACGAGGTATTCAAATTGTTGCATTAAATTGGCAGAATTGTGACAAGGGAATGATGATGAACGAAGGAATGTTTGTAGGGTATAGAGGTTGGGTACTTAAGCCGGAGACTTACAGGGGGAAAGCATGGACCATGGAAGCAGCCAAGGGAACTGAAAGTAACCTCCAGAATATCGCGAAGTGTCGTATCATGAAATTATCCATTGAAGTCCTTGCGGGGCAAAACATTCCTCTTCCAGAGGGTGATGATCACGCCAAAAGATTCCGCCCATATGTCAAATGTCAACTCCATCTTGAGCGACTCAAAGATAGCATCTACGCCACCGAAAATGTGAAAAGCGGTACAGACACTGCAAAGCACAAACAGCAAACGAAGTCTGGCGTTGGCTCAGATCCTGACTTTGGGGGGCAAGTCTTGCAGTTCCCAAATGCACCAGTTACTTGGGAGGAATTGAGTTTTGTGAGGTTAGTTAATTCCATTTTTGACAAGTCTCAGCTCAGTTTTCCAATATTTCATGCGAGATTTCGATATACTGGCCCACGTCTGCCTTCCCTCCTACATCATTGATCCAAATCTTCAGCGAGGCGATTAGTGCCACGTCAGTCAGGGGATATCAAAAGAGAAATATATTTCCTGTTATTGCTTTTGCAGGAAAAGAGGGGGAAATAACACTACGCATGAAAAATGACAGAAAGGAACAGGAGAAAGAAACTCCTCACTTATGTTGAGCCCATGTAAAAATGGGGTCGTGTGCGTTGTTGATTGCTTAGTTTTAACTGTGATTCCTCATGCATATTGTTTATGTCCGTCTCTTGCTAGCAGGATCGAGATGCTAATCCAATGGTGAATCGACAGGTTCAAGGTTAAGGACCGCGAGTTTGGAAGAGATGATTTAGCGGCGTGGGCTTGCATCAGACTCGATCGGCTTCGCCAAGGATTTCGGTTTATTCGGTTATTTGACACAACCGGCAAGGAATCTCAAGGTGTTCTGCTTGTCAACATCTCAAAGCAGATATGTTAAAGTATGCTGCCATTAAATACTGGACAAGAGCTTCATGTGTTTTCTCCCCTGCAACTTTAGCCAGATTACCACTATAGTCCTCTAGTGTTCCATTGTGTGTTCACACGCGGTAAAAAGCCATAACATTCACAATCGAGAGCGGTCGTGGTCTGTAAAAGGTCATAGGCGTTCGTTCCATTAATTGCTTCTATCACGAAATCCCCCTTAGATCAGTGGCTGAAAGTGTCTTTCCCGTGCTCCATTGTCAGGATGAATAGACTTTATCCGATGCATGAGACCATTCAATATGTAAACTGTTCTAACTTACTCGTACATACTGTATTTCGGAAAGTGATCTTGAGCACTAGTCCCTGTTCCCTTGTCTTTTGATTTACTGCCGTTGTTGAATGGTGCCGTTTGGTGATCAGCCCGCTTTTATGTGCGATAGCCCTCGTGGTGAGTGTGATAGGCTTGGGTGACTTGCCATGATTTACCTCCATTCATATTTGCAAATCTCAGCCGACGGAAGGAATATTCAAATCTCGATAATCTGCGGATTGATGCAAGCATGTTGGTATGAACGGAGGGGCTAGCGAATGAATTTCCCGCTTTCCATTTCCAAACTTATTTATCATGCATTGACTAAACATAGCTGTCGGCAGAAATAAAGTTTGTGTATTCCGCCCTTATACACAGGTGCATGCAAAGTTCATGCATACTAAAGCAAATTGTGACAGGTCTGCTTTTTGCTCCAATATCGTAGTCTCATTGGTTGATTATCATCAATTGATGTTCAGTCCCGTGAAGTAGGAAACATGATCGTCTGAACGTTCTTCTGCGGAGTATCCGTCTTATGCCCTTCCCATCGCAGGGGTTACCCTTTAGCAGCCATGTTAGTGGCTTGTCCCGTAGAAACTCTTGGATTTCTTATCAGCCTCTCATCACCCTGCCTGACAGATGCGCCCAAAAGCGGAAAGCATGTCTTCGCCTCTATCGGGTTAATCATTGAGGACGCGAGACCATTAACATGGCACAGTAAAAGAATCATTATAAAAGTTGGGCGCGCGAGTCCCAAAAGCCATAGGAATACGCAAAAGTTGCTGGAAGCAATCTTCTCCTTTCGTACAGGCAATGACGTGATTTCCCTTATAACAATGATTTGCCTTGAAAGAACAATATCTTAACCAGGTATAACAACAAGAAGAAAGGACCCACACACTGGTTGTCTATCGGATGAGGATGGTGTGAGGTCGTGTAGTTTCTTTTATTGATGCGCTAGCAAGAACCATCCCACGTCGACGACGCCCCAGACAATTCTCGTAATCTGTTTCATGGAAAAATGAGTTCCGTAGTCAATCGACAATCATAACCTGGCATGCTAGTAGGCAACTTTCTGCAGACCCCGTTTTCCACACTCACGTTTCGTTCCTAGAGACGGATTATCGCAGATTTTCCATACAAATTCGACATTTTGTATGGCGTCAACCCGACCAATCTTATCATTCAAAAATTTGTATTGGTGTACTGCGAGGTGGGGTGGTGTTCGACGAATTATAAAGTTGACAGTATGCAGGTAGGCGGTGTAACGGACTTCTGTCGACGTTTGTACTGGGTGACGAGAAAACAACACCTGTCCGGTCATGCTCCACATCTATCGAATAGTTGGAGTCCCTTAAGCACAATGAACTTCTTCAAGAAGAATGGGCATTATAGGCCAATCACGCTGACTTTTGTTAATTGGCCGGGGAAACTTTTGCCTTCGTCAGTGAGATGTCCGGTGAACATACAACTTATTTAGCACGGAACTAAACACAATTTAACTTCCAATGTAAGTTGAACTCATTCAGCGCATAGCAGGAACCACTGGAGAAGTCCCCACTGGAGCAGTCCCCACTGGAGCAGTCCCCACCCGGAGTGAAGCTATTTTAAGTGAATGCTGGAAATTGTGATTGTGTAGGTAGGTTTCCATCTCGCCAGAGCCAAAGAAAACAGTGATCATTGGCTGATCCTCGATATACTCGTGTGTTGAATCAAGCTGGTTGCGTCGAGATGCGTTGTTACTGGATTGACGTCTTAAGTTGCGGATCCACAAGTTCTTGCATGCTTCAAGAGGGCCCCGGATCTGAATGAAGGTTATGTCCATGTGACAGTTCCTCTGTGACCTATCGTCGATCATGGAGATCGTATAGACTTCAGCGGAGTTGCAAGTCTCTGGATGCTTCATAAATAAGACGTCAATCCCCACTTAAATTGCACTGAAATAACCCGTGAAGCGAGCGACCAAAATTGCTCTGAATTCAAACATTTGAATACATCCACATTGATACTCGTAAATTGTTTTCCCACTGCCATAGTAAGATGATTCTTTTAGAACAGTCATCCACTCGAACCTTTCTTCCAAATGTTGCTCTATTAACGATGGTGCATTCGCAGGAAGTAGCAAAGTTTCAAAATTTCGACGATGCGTCTGAGGATTTCCAAACCTGTCGTGTCTCTAGTGTCGTCTGGCGTAGCACCCGTAGGAAATGGGATGTCACCGGTGAGACTCATAGCGACAGACAATGGTCACTATTACGCCAGCTGATGACATTCGTTCAAGATGCCCGGTGTCAGATGCCCAACGTGCGCGAAGGAGGGTAAGGAAACGTGGGTTATTCCGGGGAAGGATTGCCATGTCTGCGGAACAGAGTGTTGATGAGATTGGCCTGGTATGCCTAGGCTGCACAAAGATCATATTTTGGTGTTGACATATTGTTGGTCAAATAGGGCCAAACGAGCGGCTGTGGCATGGGGTTCAACGCCTTTATTAAACAAGATACCTTGGGCTGAAGAAGCCAGGTTTCCGGGGTTTCCTTTTAATTGCATAGTATTTGAAATGATGAGTCCCATATTGTCATTGTTGCAAGGAAAGACACAATAGAAACCGTTAGGTAGTCAGATAAAGAAGAGGAAGAGCTCTCGGCTGAAATATAGGATTCCATATCACCAACCTCTCGTTTCCAATACCTAAGGTGTCAGAAGCGTATGTATGCTAGGGGAGCATGCGTACGTGTAGATGGAGAGTGTTGAAAGAATACAAGTTGTTTGTGTCCCATAGTGTTTTCCGGTAGCAGTGGCTATCGCATGCTCTCTATCAGTTGCATGTAGCCAAAGGTTAATGAATATCAGATGAATCAACAACAGATATTCTGCGTAACCATATTGTAAACGAAAAGCAGAATCCAGACAAAGAAAAAGTACAGGAAGCTACGTAGCAGAAAAGCGAGCGGCGGTCCCTTCATAATAAGGGCCTGTTCGGTGTGGCCGTGTGTACTCATTCTTTTTGTACAGATCTCCACTTTTTAAAAAAGTACAGCTTAATATGATGACTGTTCAGTGGGCAGAGCAGCTGTATTAATATTACAGCTTCTTTTTGTAAAGTATGGATGAAAAAGATCAGATGTTCAGTGGATTGAGCAGCTATACTCACATGTTTCATCAAAATCATATAAATAAGCAGTATTTAACTTCAACAGTGTGTGACAGTGTAGAATAATGTAGAATAGCATTCATAATGAAGATAGTTAATTAATATTGATTAGAAAGAGACTTGTAAAAACACATTTTTTTTAAATGGAGTTCAGAATCAATTCAAACAGAACATATTTTTTCAAGCTTCGTTCTTCATCATACAGAAAATTGATCAGTGAAGATCAGTATGAAAAATAATCAACAACAAAATAATGAGATGAATGAGCAGATTCTACAAATTGTAATTCAACAACATATCAATTTTTATCAATAATTGGTTGTCAAAATAATCATGAATCTGATGATGAGAATCTCTTTAATGTCACAAAAAAAAATATTATATGAAAAATCTTTCATTAATGCTTTATATACTGCTCAGCTGCTGAATTCGAATATCCACTCTAATCATATTAAAAATGTTACATACTTTTATCAAGAAACATTCATGCAATTTATTATTTTTTTCAAAAAGTATACAACTATATCTGAATTCAGTGTTACAGATGTGATGAAGATGAAAGAAAAGCAATGATATTTCTCTATATTATTGTATAAAAATCTTTATATCAAAATATTGTGGAAAAAGTTGAGTATTTATTTAATACAATTTCAAAGTAAAGGATGCGACGGCGAGTGCGCGGCCGGAAACGGCGCTGTACGCCCGATCCGGTCAAGCGCCGTCCGCGTGTGGTCTAGCGCGGACCGATGCGGGCCTGGCGCCGCCCCGTTCGGGCATGGTGCCGACCCGGCGGCCCCTTCGACTCTCCGACGTCATCTCTCACGGCTATATAAAGCTGCCCTGACTTCCTCCCTCGCACACGCACTTCTGCGTCCTTATTTCCCTTCCCCCCTTTCATCCATTTCTTTTCCTTCTCTTCTCTGCCCCTGCCGTCTCGTCCTCCTCCCCGTCCTCGACTTCGGTGTGGTATCCCTGACCCACTGCCTCTGCGCCACCGCCCACCTGTCCAATCGCTCTGATTTTGGTCGCCGCCGTTCGACGAAGGCCCCTGCGGCATTGGCTTCACCATCGAACCCGCCTATGTTATATGTGTCCTTGCCTTGCTTTTTCCTCCGCTCCTGCTACTGTTCTTTCACTCTCTCCCGTCTCGCGTTGAAGTGATACATGCGTTCCCCTCCCCCCCCCCACCCCCCGGGAAAAAAAAAAGGATATTCCTTCCCGTATCAGCAACCGGTTGACCCGACTCACGGTTCCCCGTTCCCTCTGTCACCCCTCTCTCCTGCTGCTGCTGACGTCCCTCCTGCTCAGCGGCCAATGGCAAAAATGCCTCATTTCGGTAAAACCCCGTGGGAATGAATGGGTGGTCGATCCCAATTGCGGCGTCGCTGAACCGGCGCCATTCTTTCCCCGACTCCTGGACTCGTTCTTCGACTTGTCATTTGCTGGTGCCTACGTGTCGGACAAAGAAATAACTGGAAGGGCTGCATTTCCAGCCTTCCTTCTGCCCGTGGTTCGAAGGACCCCAGTTTCAGCTCAGTGTGGCGATCTTTGGGGTTTGACCTATCAACCCCGACAGGAAATCCCTGCGATATGTACGCGAGCGAGCTGAAGTCGCATCGGGCGTTCCGGAGCATGTCCACGCCGCGTACGCCATGTAGCGATGCAAGGATGGTGTGATAAGAGGACGAAGGCGCAGGGCCGAAGGTGCGAGGAGGCCGCGTAAGCGAGGCTATAGCTGCATGTGTGCGCAGCCGCCGTGTGCCGCTCGTTCCCACACTCCTCGCGGGATTCACATCCGATTCGTCCATGGTACTCGCATCTTCCATGCCTGGATCGTTCGAGAGAAATTGGACCGGGACGGCAGGAGGCTGTGGCGCCGCTTCTGCGTCCACCCGACAGGCGATGGACGTGGCTGGCCGCTACTCGCACCTGCTTGGGTTACATTCTGCTGTTACGTGTGCGGTGGCCGACGATGTTTGATTTGGAGAGCCTGACGCTCGTCGGCTCTCCTTTTGAGCGGGTGTAGATTTTTCTGGCCGACGGGCTTATTTGGAGGAACAGGGAGGATGGAGCTATCGCCAGAGCGGCGAAAACTGTAGATAAAATGGTCTGCTTTCCCCCGTGGATTCACCACTGCCGTTCCGACCGACTACGCGAGATCACCATCTCTTCTGCAAACATGTCCGGCGGCTGGAACATATATACCCCTTCCAATCCCCCCCCCAGGGCCTCGAAAACTCCTCAGTCCCCTAACCCCGCGAATCCCCCCCCTTCAAGTCCCATGCCCGCAAGTCATCAACCCCCTTACCCTATACCCTCTGCATCCCAATCTCTCCAGACGGTCCCTGCACCTTCCATCAGCCCTCAAACACTCTCCCACCCTTTACCCCCTCGTCCTCCTCCCTCCAGTCGTCCTTCGCAAGTTCCGCCTTTCCCCCCTTTCAAAGATCACCATGAGGTCCAGTCTCGGGCAGGGGATACTCGCTTGAATGATTTTGATGAATTCTTCGCGGGACTTGATTCTCTCCGCGTCCCCATCCCCAGTGATGCAGCCGTCGAACGCTCGAGCCGGTATTTGCAGGATGAGAGGCACGGTTCTCACGGTGGGTAGCCGGTCCGCTCTCTCTCTCCCTCTTTCTCTCTCTCTCTCTCTTCCCTTTCTTTTTGTTCTATCTGGTTAGACCGGTTTCTAACACCAGGGCGTCTCCTAGGTTTTCCTGACGGGGATGAGGACAGAGGCCGGGAGAAGGACGACGAATCCTTACCGGTTCCTTCGCCCGCTGTAGAATGCGGCCTGGTCGGATCAGCCGACACAAAGGCTCTTCCTGGCGACGGCAGTTCAACGCCCGTACTGGATTCGACTCCACACGCTGGCTTTTTGGAGCCGGGGTCGGATCAGGATACATCGCATAGACAAGAATGGTCCCGAAGCAGTTCTGATGACCCTCTGCCCTTCGATCCGCCGATCACGGTAGACCCTGATGACAGCGCTACGGACAGGTCCGCTGTTGACAGCACCTTCACGTCTCCCGCCAAACGAGACACTTCCAGCCGTGCAACATCCATATCTCACTCTCCCAAGGCGGATGGTGGAAGCAACGAAGCCGGCACTGGCATCGCCGGTGTGCGTTCTATCCAACTCAAGAGACAACGCCGGCCCCGGGCTGGTACCGGTGACATGCACCCCATGGTCGCCGTCGAAGTGCCGGTCATCGCGGATCGCCTCGAAGAAGCCATGTCAGGCTCGATGCGGTACGAGAATGGGCTAAGCAGCCGACTCCGGACCCGCCAACAGAAGACTCGTGCACGATCGAGGCGCGAGGTCCCCGATACCCAGGACTGTAAGCTTCCCGGGAAGCCGGTGCAGTGTGTCGAAGACGACACGACCATGTCCGACACGGGTAGCTCGAGCGCACACTCCGACGATACGGACGACGACTACCGTGCGAGCAGCGAAGAGGATGGCCCAATGAAACCACCTTCGAAGCGTCGCAGGCTTTCCACACCGCCATCCGGCCCTGCGTCGCGCCGTCCCCGGTTTCGGATCCCAAGGGCAGCAGCCGCTGCAGGTCGTGAAGATGTCGAACGGGAGGACTGCAGGGTGCGAACGACGACTGCGAAGGACCGTTACCCGACCCCCGGGAACACAAATCATGGACTAGACACTTACGCCCACCCCCGACCTCCTATTGATGACGAGACGCGCAGTTGCCCTCTGCCGTTGTTGACCCGAGGGGAAGCCGTGATGCTGTCATCTAGGGTGGCCCACGTCGTTTTCGAGATGGTCATGCGCCGTCCAATGACCGCCTCAGATCTCGCGGGCGAGACGACAGCCGCGGCCGACGCCGAAAGAGATTACGACGAACGGAAGGTCGAGGATCTGGGCGGGAGAAGACGTCGCTGGACTCGAGAGGAGGACGACCGTCTAATGACCCTGAAGCAGGACGGCTTCTCCTGGACGGAGATCGAGGAGCGGTTTCCACACAGACAACTCGGCTCCTTACGGCAGCGATGGTACACAAAACTTCAGAATACGCACGCAAACAACCCCCCCCCACCGACAAGCAGAGGCAAGAGTGGAACTGTAAGCGCGGCCACCCGATCCTCGTTTGTAACCCCTCAGCTCTGTGTGACGTGAGCCTGCAAAATAGTGCTTAGAAGGTGTGCTGCAGTGGGTACTGATGCCCTGCTCTTCTTGCGAACCTACTAGGTCGTGCGTCGGCCGGTGAGCCCCTTCTGATATCAAAGCCGCCCACGCCCGTCGAAACTTCACATCGCTATCCCGGCGGACAACCCCAACCAGCAGACGACCGGGCCATGCCGAATGCGAAGCCCCGCACACCATCTCCGTCCTCGACGGTGACCGCCATGTGCCCAGTGTGCAATTCTGTCGTCGAGGTGGAGGCTTCCAGTGCGTTCAATGCCGCCAACAATCGCATGCGGGTCCGCGAGCAGTTGTGGTTCTGCGAGAACCACCGAAAGGAAACCGCACGGCGCGAGTGGTCCCGACTTCGCTATCCCATCATTGCGTGGGACCGCCTCGATGATCGGTTGACTCAATTCCATCCTCGCCTGCACCGGATCCTTAATGATTCCCGGTACCGCTCCCGCTATAAGAGTGTTGTGCTCGAGAAAGTGCGGAGGCATGGCAGAAAGATCCTCTCCCGGAGTGTCCTGCACAGCACTGGCTACTATGGCCTTAGAGGCCATGAGATCCTGTGAGTGAAGAAACCCCCCTCCACCCCTCCATCCACCACCCCCGATCCCGACCCTGTGAACCCCACCGAGGAACCTCTTCACTGACCTTCCCCTCAGCTCAGCGCATGTCGTGTCTCACTTTAAAGATGCCATCGACTCACTGGCCGGCATCGATAGCGTGGCGTCGAAGTATGGGACCGTGGTGTATGCCCAGGAGGTCTTGGTTCCCGAACTGCTGGAGATGTTGGTTCAGGAGGACATGGGAGTCGATGCCAAAGGGGCCCGCCGGATTCTGAAGGAGAGCAACGAGATCGGGAATTTGCTTAATCTTGAGTGAATCGGGAACATGTAGTTATTGATTAACATATTGATTTAACGCAACCCAATGACCAGCATTGTAACTATCTTAGTGAATAACGTAGCCATCAGAACATATCTTTTGGGTGACTCTCTAAACTGCCCTCGCTAGTTCTACCCACAATTTGGTAGTGATTTGAACATTGTTATTTCTGATTTTTTACTTAATTTCCTGCTTTGCAGGAAACGCCCATCTTTGCATCCACTCAGACTCAACAACATCCCGAATAGTAGCCCTGTCGCTTGGTAAATATTGAAGCATCATCCAAATCATACGTAGGAAAGCCTTCTTCTCATCCTCCCCCTGCTCTTCCATGTCTGATCGCCGCCGAGCCGCGTTAACGAACCAATCGTACCGTTCTTCCAGGCTATCTTGGAAAGGAGCACCAGTCGTGATATCAATAGTTGCATCCTCGTTAAAAAAATCGGCTCTGGACTCCCATTGTGACCACCATGGATCAGGGAGCTTTCCCAAAACACTGACTTGGTCCTGAAGTATGCCTCCACCTAAGGTACTAAAGGGGCCCCCACTACCAATGATTTCAAATATGGTACATCCAAGGGTCCAAATTTCGCTGGGGAATGAAAGGTTATATTCGTCGTTTTGTTTGTCAAGAAAGAAAATTTCGGGTGGAACAAGGTGGGGCAGCGTATATGCGTTAGTCCGTCTTGTTTTACTAGGGTAGTAACTCGAACCAAAGTCGGAGAGCATGATGGGCAAATAGGTAGGGGTGATTTGGTCAGACCGAATTCCAACTCTTGCAGGCCCAACGACGTGAGTAGGAACTCCTGCCGGGAGAGGTTTGCCATCAACTCGGACAATAGGCTCAAGAATTGGATCGCCGAATTTCTGATACAGTTGTGAAGGGTCTATCATTCGGCGAACGTCGGCGGGAAGTCGAAGAAAGATATTACCGCAATGTATATCTGTAGGATTGGTTAGACACTGTGTATATCTAGGAACGATTATCTACTCACCACCGTGGATAATGCTTTGTCCGTGTAAAAACTGGACGGCTAACACCAGGTCTGCAGCAATAGCTCGCGCGATACGAAGATCCAGTAGTCCGTGAAAGGCCAAGGACTTTGATTGCGTCAAGCTACAACTAGCCGTTTCCATGACCAGGCAATTGTGAGTTCCATTGGGACTAATTTCAATGAAATTGTCCAGCAGCTGTCTGATCAATGGGTGCGGATGAAGATGTTTTAGAATATCTACTTCCTGAGATTTCGAGGCAGAATCGGCGGATTTTATTTTGATAGCAACTAACTCCTGTTGCTTCTGGTCAGAAGCCAGCCATACTGTAGAGCTGCCGCCAAATCCGAGGTTCTGGACAATAGAGTAACGTCCATCACAGAGTCGATCACCAAGCTTTAACGGGTAAAAGCCGCCTGGACAGTACCTCTCTAGCCGTTCACAATCCTCAATGTATTTGTACTTAGGGGCAGTCTCAGAAGCTGCAGGGCTTTTGTCCATCTTGCGTCGAGGGCGTGAGGTGTGAAATGTTTTTAAAATAGTGAATGCGCATTTCTCTTGTGAGAGATGCTTTGAGGGTACCAATTTTACTAATCTTCCTAACAAAACAAGGGATGGGGAGTGACATCTCCATGTAAAGTGTAAAATACACGAATTGAAGGGGATCATTTCCGGTCGGCCATAGAGTGGGAGTGGGTGACATTGTCGGAGAGAAGCCAACAACTGGCGTGCCAACTTGATCTCCGCGTTTATCGACTCCTCGACCTTTTTTTCTGACTAAGCAAGTATGATCCAACAGACATATGACACGTGGATATTTTAGTATGAGAAAATACTACCGAGACAAACAAGACAAACACAGCAAGGTATATTCTCATCCTACATTGGTGTCTGGAATCTGTATTTGCAGAGAATGTAAGCGCACTAACCCAGAATGGATTAGTGATTACAGCATGAGGGCGAAGCACGTTCCTTTGTCTCTTTTCAGGGTCAATATACCCATTACATGTAAAGTAGCTTAGGTGATGACTATTATTCTGTGTTTAACTATTTAGCTCTATGTTTATTCATCTCTTATATCGAAACCTGCATTGTGAGATGGAGGCGGAGGTTGACCATTCTTCAATCTACCACTATTCGGGGCTTCCCCTTGTTCCATAATCGGTTCGCCTTGGGGATTAAAAAAATTGTGATTTGAGAAAAGAATTACGCGCTCGCGAATTCCCTCAGCTAACAATTCATTTATCATTTTCCTCTTGGTGTGCTTGCTAGTGTGTCTGGAGGCAAACGTCAAGCCTTTCACAATGGTTCAAAATCTCTCTCCCATCAATGACTGCGAAACAGAATTTTTCCAAATGGAATTTTACTCGCAATATAGGGGAGGAGGATGCCTCTAGCATTGCTTGGAATGAACGGCAGATTTTGGAGGCAGGCATCAGCATGTGCCTTGCTGAATGCTATTGCTCAGCCTACCCCTAACAGTGTGCTAGCGCCGACCCGGATTGAGCATGTCCATGTTACCCCTCCTCTTACTTCTTCATAGATCTGTTCCAAGAATATTTCGCCTCCAATAGATGTCTCTCCTACGGATGTGAATAGAGGAAGCGTCTTCTAGAAATTTTATCTATGCCCCAAGAGAGAATGGCCAACCTAGTCAAGTTCTACATCGTGGGCACAATCCCTACTCGACGGCTCCCTCAATTGATGGCTTTGGCATATCAGACTGCAAATGACCTTCATCTTCACCCAAAAGCTGTTCTCATCCGGTATGGCTCATCTAAACCTTTGCCCACGAGAATATACTAATAGGTACTAGGTCGGATATTCACGATACGACCTCTATACTTGGTACATACCAGAAAGATCCAAAGGGTCTCCATCTTACGATCTGCTTCAAAGATGCTGAGCAACTCGCCAACAACACGCATATCGCTAGTCATGGATATGTCACAGACAGATTGAAAAACTTTATTCACGAGAGCAACACACACGCCCGAAAAACAGGATGGAACTAAGAAAAAGAATGGGGTTGATGTTTGGCCTGGCGGTTTAAAATGTGTTGTTGAAGTGGCCTATGGGCAGGTGCCGAAGCAGGAAGAGATTCAAGTTGAGTAATTTGTATGATCCTCTATGAACTTGAAAAATGTGTCAAACCTTTGTCATTAAGCTGTTAAGGTATCTTCATTCCCAACTACGTGTAAGATGCTTCGAGATCGTTTCCTATAATGAAAGTTTATTGAAGATTAGAAATTACTTTTCCATTATCCTTGCTCATCTGCCTTGTCGCCAACCCTCTGCCTTTTAAAGCCAACTTTACTCGCTCCAATGGTATCTTCCTCTTCCTCGTCCACCTCTCCAACATGATCTGTGAAGCTCCATTGTAGGGCATCCTCATACTCAGCCTCGGTTTCGTTGGCTGATGTATCGGACTCGACCAAGACTGGTCCCGCTGTTAAAATAGAAACTGGCCCTTCGCCAGAGGATGCAAAAGATTGAGATTCGCTATCCAAGTCTGGAACCCTCCGATTTGCGGCCTCAATGAATCCGTCTCTCCATTCCTTTGCCAAGTCTCTGCCATGCCGAAAAGCGGCTGCTCCCTGACGAAAAGTTACTGGGTCACCAGTCATAGACCACCCTTTGAGTTGCGTCATAATATATTCAGGACGATCTCCAGAACGGGCTGGCTGGATAGAATGAGAGGTGTATAACTTGAGCGTGCCATCGTGGTATGTAGATGTAATTGTATAGGCGTTGTTATCGTAAACTGGTTTGTCTTTCCCATATGACTGAAGGCTCTGAATACCTCGAGCACCCAACGCGCCATTATAGCACGCCTGTCTTCTAGCTACTGCTGCAGATCCATCGGGTCCCTTTGCCTCCAGAAAGAAGTTCGGCGACATCGGGAGACTATCCTGTGTTGAAGGGATGATGAGGTCACTTAACTTGCTGCGGATATTTCGGTCAAGCTGTTCGGGACGAGCTCCGTAGAAATGATCTGGCTTGCCGGCAGCAAGAGTACCGTCCGTCAAGGGAGCCAGGTTTCCAAATGCGTATCCTCCTCCGACACATTTAGCGTCGCCGATCTTGCCCTCAATAATTGGAATCACTGAGACTGCCACTGGTTGCTCCTTGGATGCATGGGCATCTGCTTTTCTGAATTCTTTGAATTTTTTTTCCGAAAACCTTGATGGTGAAAGCGAAGCTCGGGGTCTGGCTAATCTTTCATTGATGATCTCCCAGTTGTCTGGTATTGGGGGGAACCGACCGTCCGGATAATCGTACTCTGGAGGGTAGACACCATGGTCGATCAGGTTCTGTTCGAAGTTACGTTTATAAGCTGTAGTGCTGGTAGTTTTGGTGACCTCAGTGTCTTGGGTTCCTTGGGTTTTTGAGGATGGAGTAAGTGTTGCAGACCGCTTTCGACGTCGAGACCTGGACCGACCCGAGTTCATCGTGCGATCAAGAGGATTTATAGGTTCTGGGAACTAGAGGGAGAATGGTCAGTTTGAGATGGTATGGGCGATCTGGCAAGTACTTACACCCCTCAAATCCGAGAGATCCGGACCACCGTGCCTGGCAAACTGCTTTATATCCTTCGAATAATTCGGCACACAGTCGCGGAGGAAGCCAGCAGCGTTCTGGACGAGTCGGCGATTATTCTTCAGTGTAGCCAGAAGCTGACGAGTCAATGGCCTGTTTGGTTTTCGGCACCGCAAATAAGATGGGTATGGAGTAGGCTGAGCGTTCCTTCGGTTTAGCTCTCTCACCGCGCCTTTGGTTAACCAAAGCTTCGACAGGTTGTCCCAGAATTCTTGCGGTGGAGAACCGGTTGGGTGGTCGTGCTTCTGCTTTTTTGATTGGGATAATCCGCTCACTTGAGACGGATTTTGCTCTGAACGCTGGCGCTTGCGGGATGAATTAGAGAGTCGTGGCGCAGACATGTGGCAATCAACAGGATTGACCAGTTTGTCGATATATCGAAGGCGCATGGTCAGATAGGAATAGCAGCGCTTATATTCTCACATAATGTGTGAACCCCGTGTGTTCGAGTTGGGGCGGGAAGTTTCTTGGCGACGGGAGATAGACGGTTCCCGAAGACCAGTTCTTGGGCTGCTTTCTCTGCCGTTGAAAATTCCGTCTTTTACCCAACTTCCCCACGCGTCATCTTAAAAATGAGGTCATCAGCTCGTTAGGACTGAACCCGTAAATTTTGAAGCGGTTGGGAACGGCGTTCCAACTGACAGGGCCCGAAGAGCAGCTTTGCAGGAGCGGATGACGCCCTCCACTGCAAGTTATGAGTCACTAACTATAGAGACCGGGTGAGTTAGAACGACTCAACTAGGTCGGTCAAAAATTTCCTCACCCCCCCAAAGGACAACATCTTCGGTCGTCTTTATTAAAACTCTATGCACAGATGCCCGACCCCACCACAAGTAGCTTCTGATGGGATCTTGCCAAGGTGCCACCCAAATTTCACCAACCACGCTGGAAACACGCCAACGACGATAAAACTTTTACTGGCTTACAATTTTCAGCTCGATCCTTATGACAACAGTGATTTACATCATTGGTATGCCCCATCCGACCCCTCAATAGCCCCTCCACTTGACTGTGCCCACCCACCATTTACCCGATTTTCTCATATGATTCTTTCTGCACCAGCATTTTATTTTGACAACCCGACTTCCATCTCAGTCCAATACCCAAGATGTTTTTGACCCGACGACGCTCTGCTGCGAAGCTTTTTCAATTTTCATTTTACGGAATCAAATTTATTATGACACTTTGGGATAGTCATGCCTCTTTGCTAATTATATCTTAGAAATCGCCTCACAAAACAAGAGTGAACCCTTGCTTTACTACTTAGTACACCATTCTGTAATCAATCATCCCAGGTACTTCTGTGGTCGGTATCTGTGAAACCGAGTTTGCGAGAACGCCTACTGAACTCCACAATCATCCAACGATTATATTGTCGAAAATGGCACGAAAATTCAGAACTCAAGAAACAGGCGACCAGAATATTCTCGCCCTCTACCAGCACGAAGTAAGTCTCTCAACCCAAGGCTCCAACACGGACTTCTTTCTTTCCCGACCAGACTATCAGCGGAACATACTGACGTTGTTAGGTTGGCGATATCGATGGTAGCATAGAGTGGATAACTCCAACAAATAACATCAGAACGAGCCCCCCGTCGAGTACACTAGCGGTTGCGGTCGATATTGGGAGCAATGCCGGAGCAGTGAGGATTCATGAGGCGGAAGGTGGAAAATTTGTTGACGGTGTAGGGACAGAGGAAGCCGGACACGTTGTTATAGTGCCTTGGGATGGCAATTGGTATTATTACACGATTGGAAGGATACGGTTAGGGTATATCCGAAGGGTGGATACAAGCGACAGCTAGGGTATATATTGATGGAATATCAACCTTGAAATTTGAGATTGTGTGACGAAAGGTCTATTTGCTGGAGCTGTGTAGCAAACTTGTCACTCATCTCTTGAGAGATTGGGATGGTGACGAAGGGTGGAAAGTTCATGTTGTATGTGTTTGTCAACCATATCTGTCCCCGAATCTGGTCAGAGGCTGTCACGGCTTGGGCGTCTTTAACAGTGAGTTGATATGCGGCCCCGGTAAGTGAATCTGGGCAATCGTTAACCTTGAATCACATAAGGATAGAATGAGCGTACCAATTGGGGGAGGTTCGCTGCTTAGAATTCCTTGACGCGCACGGTGAAGTGTATCAGGCGTATAACGCCGTTGGCTCTTGCGACTCTCACGCATATCGCTCGGTGTTGATTGTTGATCTGCTTGCGGTTAATTCAGCTCCAAAAGTGATTGTGAAATGGTCGCACCGTCAGAAAATTTTCGTTTCGATGGTCGCAGCTCAATGCGCCCTTGTAATATTAGTCCAGAACATTTCGATATAGCAGTTGATGTACTCACTTTTCTGAAACTCCTTCAACGAGTCGTCATCTTCTGCGTCAAACTGGCCATTGACAACTCTGTCAATGTCGCTTCGATACAAGTAATCGTTAAGTTTATGGCGCCGTATAAAGTCTCCAATATTATCAATAAGAAAATCAAACTGGGTCATCCGCATTTCATATAGTGTCTTCACGTTGTAAGAAAGGCCCAGGAAAACCAAGGAGTTGCAATCGAGATTTTTCAACTTCTCTTGCTTTTTTTTCTCGCGACTGGCTTTTTCAAAAACGAATTTCATGAGATGCTTCACTCTGACAGCTTGCTGTTTCGGAAGGGGTTGATTGCTTGGCCGCCGTCGCAACAGCAGAACAGTCGCCTGTAAGACTTTCTGTACCTCCAGCTGTGTCTTGAGGTGCAACACTTTCTGTAGTACGTCGTCAAGTGGGCTATCCACATGGCTGTAGCTCCAAAGATCGGACATGATTCGGCTCAAAGTCGAGTTAGCTATTTCCAGCGCAGATGCAGCCATCTTTCCCGATCTGCACGAGTATTGGAATACGAAAGACTCGACCAGGTAAGTTGGTGGAATATATACTGTCGCTCGCTGAAGGACGCGGCAACTTGGAAAGGCGGAGAGAACGAAATATTTCTGTCTGAGATAGGTCAGCAAAATTTCCCCCGCTTACATCATACCAAAACAATTTACGATTGGATGATACATGAAACCTCAATCGCCATACCAACATCCCTTTGCCTGGTAGCTCTTTCATTTTATTTAATGTGGCTTCCTTTAAAAACGGTTTCGCTACGCCCAGCTTCCTCTGCACCCTGGGTCATCCCACTACTGCAAGCTATGACAATATTCTCTTCCTTCACTGTCGTCAATCCCAAGCGACAACCCTTCGTGATCGATTGTTCTAGCTGCACCTGGGTTCAGGGACAACGCACCTGGCATCCAGTTCGTTTTTCCTGGAGCTCTCTGCCAGTTGGAACCCCAAACGCCCCAATGCTCCGAGGACTCGTAATGGAGGCACTGGATATTTGCGGCGCAGAGTGCAATGTGCCTCGCATGGGTTAGGTCAGTGTGAACAACATATCCTGCGTCTAGATGGTTCGACATGTCGAATAGATGGATCTGCGGAGTCCAATACAACAGCATATAAGGAGGCAGGATTCCCTCCCAATCCTGAAGCAATGGACAGTTGTATTCATAAAACTTAAGCCCTGCTAAACCAGGTATACACTCCAGTCTTACACCTTATCACTTTACTTTACACAATGTCCAAAGGAATGAAGCCTAATGGCAAGGCACCTGCTTTTGCTGCAGCTCAACCGCCTCCGAACACTCTTATCGCTGAAGGACTCCAGCATTGTGCTGCTCAGCAGCCCGTTACAATGCGACACCTGCAACAGCTTCTCATAGATATTTTTCATGAAGTCAAGAAATCGCCAGATTCTCCGGAGCCAACTGAAGCTACTAAGCCGGAGCAAAGCAAGTATAAGGAAGGTAATGAGGTGAAAGCTCGAGCATCAAAGCTCGAATTCAAGGAAGTCCATGAAGTGTACGTCCCAATATCCAATCCTTACATCCTCCCTATGCTCACTACCAGTTAGGTGGGACAAGGACAAGTCGAACTATAAGATTGTGGAATCGGTGAGAGAGGACGAGGCGCTTGATGATCTTGATCAATATATATTTGTTGTCCGGAAGCAGCTCGGTAAGATACATGATCCCAATACCGGTTCATGTTTGGCCACTGACAACATATCAGACCGGATGACCAAGGAAACTAGGGCCTTCGTCGATATTAAGTCAAAGGTGTTGCTTGACGTGCTGCGAGAAATACTGAGAGGTGTTAGGGCTATCAGCTTGCGCGAGGATAAGCCTTCGGTATTGTCTCGCCCTCCTACTCATTCACATTGAACTAGTCACTAACCCTGGATCAGATCGAGCGGAATTTCCTGTACAACTTTCTTCCCGACCTCGAGGAGTACATTACCAAGAAAGGAAGGGATCATGATGACCCATGTTCGAAGCATGTGGACCTGCTCATCAGGTATATCAAGAATACCTATGCTTCCACGATCCAGAGTCTTTCACCACTTCTGAAAAGGGGAGAGATCACCTACGACCTGCTTTGGACCATTTTCAAGCCAGGGATCTTCGTATACAGTACCTGTCTAGGGACTGGCAAGCCCCGATGTGTTATATTTGATGCCGGAGAAGAGAAAACGAAAATGAACGGGATCAAATACTTTAGCTTAGATTGTCGCTATCTGGACTTTGACGGTGAGGTATTCGGTGAAGCCGGTACCCAGCTGGAGGTTGCCGGGTTCCACGGACCCAGACCCATCCACACCCTCGAGGCTTTCCCTCTTGATCACCACCCCAATAAATCAGGTGTCATGACGTCTATCATCGACTTCGGCCGGAAATTTTGCAGCTTGAAGGGCCAGCACATTCGCCACTGCCGCGGCCGTGCTTTCTTCAAAGTGCGGGGAGAGATAGTCCAGATCTGTATCAACAGTCGTGTCATGGTCGACTCAGCCTTCTTTCGTCAGATGAATCCGAACTACACCAGACCGCGGATCAATCAGCGGAACGACTCCTATGTGGATAATGACGGTATCACCCACGTTAATGTTTCGGCGTTTTTTGACAATCAGGACCAGCGGATGCGAGACCAGGTGAAAAGCAATGGGATGAACCCATCCGAAATGAAGGATGTTGACTTCCTTATTTGCTGTCCAACGGTTTTAGGGTTCTGTTTCAACGAGAACATCTGGAGTAAGTGAAACTGGCTTTCGACTGGTGTTCTCGCTAACCTTTAATTCCAGTGGAGTTTGCTGTCGCCGATCTCGATCAAGTCGAATGGTCATCCGCACCCTTCGAAAACCTCAAGATTCCGAGTCAGCAAAGGGACACGCTCTTAGCTCTAGCAAGGACTCGATTAGGCCTGGTGCCTAGCGTCCCCTTTGATGACTTTGTTACTGGCAAAGGGCGTGGCCTCAACGTGCTCCTATAGTAAGTGCCTGCATCCTGGCTTAGTGAATGAAGCACCCTGACTTTAATGTCAGTGGACGTCCAGGTCTCGGAAAGACTTTCACCGCCGAGGCATTGGCAGAGCACTTGCAGCGCCCTCTTTACAAAGTATGTCTCTAATCCGCCTGGGCGAGAGTTAAAGATTAATGTTACATTTTAGGTACCTGCAGGTGAATTAATCGGGGATAGATGCCTGGAGGATCATGTTTCCAACATATTTAAGACCGCTAGCCATTTCAACGCTATACTTCTTGTGGACGAAGCCGATGTCTTTTTGCATGGGCGCTCTGTCGGCGGAGTCCACGATCATTCCGTGACGGTCTTCCTCCGCAAACTTGAATATTTTGAGGGGGTTTTGTTTCTCACTACAAACCGTGTCGATGAATTTGACGATGCTATCCTCAGCAGGATCCATTATAAGCTGAAGTATGAGGCTTTGGGCCGGGAATTCCGGAGAGATGTCTGGAGGAGTTTCCTTTCAAAGTCGTGCACGCATCAGGGAAGCCCGCAGCTGTCCAGTGATGAGCTGCATAAACTGGAGGGTTTGGACCTCAGTGCCCGAGAGGTATGTGGCGGAACGCCCACCATCCATATCTCATCTCTAACCGTATATTCATCTTCAGATCAGAAACCTGGCTATGATCGCCCATGCACTCGCCACTGTCGGTAAAGATCGTGTGTCTTACACCCATCTGGAGCAGGCCGCGGAATCGAACGAGGAATTCGCGCGCGCATTCAATCGCACAGAGCGTCTCGAGACCATGTACAATTAGGATACCATGACCTCGGAAGTACGTAATCCGCCCCCCAGTCTTATTTGATATGAACGGGCAAGTGGCGAGGTCATCTAGTGTGTGATTTAATTTAATCCTCCTCCTTCTACTTAGCTACCATGTTTGTCCCGTGTTCGTGGAGGTCGTTTGTGGGTGAGGAATTGATCTATTAGTTTGCTCTGTTTTATCTCTCGGTAATTATATCTGATGACAGTTTTATGTTTTTATAATGGAATGTTTGACGTGAATGGTCAATCTGGGAGACCCTCTGGCGTTTTGCTTGACGAGATGTTAATTCGGAGTCTACCTTCTCGGCAGGCGGACTGGGACAGATTTCTACACATCCTCCCCGGCTCTCATGTTTGTGGAGGTCGTTCGTCAGGTATTCTCCCTGTGATAACTAATGCGATTTGTTCTTTCTTTCTTCTTCGTGTTTCTCTATCCGTAATTGTATCTGATGACAACGCTGCTTGTCATACGCTGAATCTCGATGAGATCCGCCTCGTTTGGTTTTCTGTCGTGATTCAATAATTGATGATGGAAGTTAGTCAAATTTTGTAAACATCACTAGCCAAACATCACCTGGAAACGTGGAGGGCGTACTGTCTCCAGGGGGGAACATTAGCATAGACCAGAGGGTCTGAGGCATATAAAGCCAGCCCTCTTCCCACTTTGCTTCCATCGCTCCATCTTCCCTTTTCTCCTCACAAAGGCCACCCAGCTTTGCAAACGATCCGACGCCACACTTCCATCATGAGTGCCCGGACAACTCGAACTCGTAAGATCAAGGAATCAGAGACCGGCCCAGCGGTCAGCAGAGGCGGCAGTGGTTCAAGTTCTGCCACAGGTGCAACAGAAACTCTCATCATCCTATTAATAACGGATTGTAACTGACATCTGGACGCAGAAAACAACGATAGTATTGACCAAGGAACAACCATGGCTGAGAGGGCCCAGCAGCAGAGCTCTGTTGAGTCTCAGGAAAACAGCTCCCTGAGCTCTACTGGCTCAACGAGGCCGACATCTCCGGTGCAAGCAACACGCATTTGGGAATTGGCAGCCCATAGTTCTGTATGCTGTGAAAAAAGCGCTGCCGGGAAAGCCATCCATATCATTCTTTCCAGAAATCCACTGAATCTCCAGCCCTCGAGACCTGTAGCGGATTGGACTCGATCAATCCATACAGCTCTTGCAGAGAGCCAACCGATAATGCCTTTTCAGCAAATGTATAAACCTCTAAGTCAGGAAGAGGTGGGCTACATCCGGAAGAGGCTGGAAGAATATACGAGACGGCATATTCATAAATTAGATGGCTTTGACTGTGCAGTAATCCTCGCGGACGCCAAGACCCTATTTTCGTATATTGCGCTCCTGGAGTCAACGATCAAAACCCATCAGGTACAGTTGCAATCCAAACTTAAATTGAAGTTCGTTAACTGACACAGTGATATTAGACCGAGCCACAATCCAAGAAGAGAACCATGCAACCCACTGGGGCTGCAGGCCAAGAATGTGGAAAGAGGCGGCGACGACATTAGGAACGCGCATGTGGATCACCAGAGATTGCTAAGGAGATATGTATATAGTTGAACAGCCAATACAAGTTTCATGCAGTTCAAGACAAACAGGTGGAACTCTTCTCACAACGCCGCAAAATCACCAGTTCTTTTTGAAGATCAACTGCATTGTATTTATTCTGCCGTAGCGTCAAAGACTGGGATGCGCTTCTTTGTAACGGTTGTTATGGATATCTGTGCTCCAGAGAGAAGATTGTATCCTATCACCGCGTAAAGGTGCCTGCTAAAGTTGGGGATGGCGACTGAAGTTGTCAGCACGTGTTCATTCTTATTGTAGAAAGGCCAATGCATGAACTTTACATTTTGTTTTCTCTCCCTCGGGAAATCCAATCCAGTCGTCCGCCAGAATCCTGATCCCTAAACCGTTTCCTATCTCATCGGCTAACAAATCCTGTCTCAAGTTCACTCAGGCTGGCCATGTCTTGAACTGTTTTTGCACATCTCTCGGTGCCATGGTTCAACCAGTCTATTATGGAAGTTAATTTGCAAATTTCACGTCTAGTTTTGTATCATTGCTACTGTAGAATGTTGGAAATCTCCCGCACCCTGCATACCTTGCTCGAATCCCTTAGCATTCCACTTCATATTTAGCTGACAGTCCTGAAATTTGACCACGCTATTCATCCACAAAGCGTGGTGCAATCACTCAGGAAAAAAGTTTTATCTGACTTATAGCCTTGTTGCCTTGACATAGCGTACCAGTCCATTCCAAATGTTTCTCTATTTTCCTTATATTAATCGATTGCATTGAAAAGTGAGGGTTCAACTGTCAAAAATGTCAGGAATCATCTCTCCCTACGAGCAGGGGGGAAAATTTGGCCCCAATATGGACTAATCCAATCACGTGAAAATTCGTATTCTCCTTTTGATTTCAAACTATTCTAGCGGCATCGTCTCCCCAACATGCCCCTGTCAACTATTTGCACCTCTCCTTAGCAATCTCTGGAGATCCACATACGCGTTCAGCGTTATAACCGGCATTCTCGTCATCAGATGCGATTACCGAGATCAAGTATGAAGAAAAAAGAAAACATTAGTCCGGGGGGATGGGTAAATAAGGCCTCCCACGATGGGCCTCTAGGGGACTCGCGTCACTCACACGATTTCCGGACTTTCCGATTTTCCGGATGCGCCGATACTCTTTTCATTGGCGCAAAGGAAGGAGGCCGTGGCGGGCGTTGATTCGCCCGAACAAGATGCAAGTAAGGCGACTTAATGCGGGGTAAACCTGAGGCATTTTTCAGAAATATGAACACAAACATTTCTCACTGCTCCCTGACTATAGTTCAAAATATATCTGTTTAGATGTTCTCAGAATGCCAAATTACAAGAGGTATTATGCATGTTGGGAGGACCTTAGAATCGTCTAACCTAAGCAGTATCATCCGCTTATCGCCATATGAATTCCTTGTGGGTGCTGATCGGACCCGCATGGTCATTCACGACAGCATAGTACAAAACCTGTCTGAGCCTTTGAGCGCATTGATCCACAATGGCCAGATGAAAGAGTCTATTTCAGGAGGTGGTCCACTAGATGATGTCGATGTCGACACCTTCACTGGATTTTGCGAATTCGCATACACGGGCGTATATAACACTCCCACCGAGTACCCTGAGGAAATGAGCATAATCACCCAGTCCTTCACGAACATTGAAACCATAGCCGGAAGCGATGCTGAATTCGGCAAAGTGCAGGAAGACAATGAGGTTTTCGATTCTTGGTCAGGCAAAAAAGGCCGGAAGAAGTCAAATTGGGCGGGACCTATATCCCCCACAGTCTATACTGTATACCCCTATGAGCAACTCCGGAAAAGTTTCAGGGCTCGGTCGTTCAGTGGTGCGGAAGCTTCGGTCTCACCTCACCCATGCATTCTATTCCATGCAAAATTATACGTGTTTGCAACAACATATCTCATTGAACCATTGCAGATCCAATGTCTAAAAAGTCTTCACCGAGATCTCTGTGGCTTCTCGCTGAACAGAGAAACAACGTCTCTGATTCTCGACTTGCTTGACTTCACTTACGCGCATACTGGCAGATATGAGCCAGGCGGAAGATCCCTTCTCCGAAACTTGGTGATTCATTACGTTGCTTGTGAGGTTCGGACGCTTTTGGATGATGACAGGCTTCAAATGCTTTTGGATGCAGACGGGGAGATGGGTTCAGATCTAGTGTGGAGGCTTGCTAAGTAACCTAGATTTTCGATGGCCAACCAAGTAGATAGGAAGGATACAGATCTTATAAAACATCTTGAAACACTGAAGATTTGTGCCACCGCACTAATTTAGGGGCAAGGAGAACAGCAAAAAAATTTTCTCTTTGTTTCCACTAGTAATGACGTACTCTGCCCAGGTTGGGCAGCAATATTTACCATGGAATTTACAACTGGAAACACTCTTGTCTTTGCGCAAGTCGTTTTGCCACGCTATTGAATTGCCGTTAAATGATATATTCTACTCGATTTCCTGTCAGTTCTGCACATTGCGACCGATAACCAGCGGTTTCGACGTGGGTATCCCATCGCCGATGGTAATGGGCTTTGTCATGACTCTCCAGCCTCACGTTGTCCCCAAATTCATTGATCTTATTATTTGTCACAAGTCAGGACTCCTACAAGCGCAAACGGCCTTTCATCTGGTCTTATCAGATTCACAAGCCCCAGATAGCTTCAGCCGCCGTATTCATCCTACTTTGTTACCTCATCACTCAGTACTCAGATTGTCTCTCGATCTACGCCAAATATAGCAGGGCCCGGGAAAGGGGAATTCTTGATGGAAAGCCCCTGCATTCGTGGTTGTTTCCCATCTAATATCTCATTAGGCTTTCGAAGAGAAAGTTCTCGATTCGTCAATAGATTTCGAGAGAGGGCCAATCAGCGAAACATGTTGGATGGAGTCCCGAATGAGATATTGACAGAAGAGCGTGATCATTATCAGAGTTTATATTATCAGTTGAAGGAGAGCAGAGACATCAAACACTCGATCAGCCTCCCTTCACTCACGCTGGCCATGTCTTGAACTGTTTTTGCACATCTCTCCGGGCATGGTTCAACCAGTCTGTTATAGAAGTTAATTTGCAATTTTCACGTCTAGTTTTGTATCAATGCTACTGTAGAATGTTGGGAATCTCCCACACCCCACATACCTTGCTCGAATCCCTTAGCATATCCACCTCATATTAGCCGACAGTCACAAAATCGTGGTTCAATCACTCAGGAAAAAGTTTTCTGTGATAGCCCTGTTGCCTTGACGTAGCGTATCGGCCCATTCCAAATGTTTCTCTATTTTCCTTCAATTAATCGATTCCATTGAAAAGCGAGGGTTCCAACTGTCAAAAGTGTTAGGAATCATCTCTCTGGGGTCAACGAGGTACGTGGTAAACTTTGGCCCACCATCCCCAATATGGACTAATTCAATCACGTGATGCTTAGTTTTTCTAGCGGCATTCGCAATTCTTCACGCCCAGCAGCATAACAAAGGCTAATTCGGAGACTCGGCTCCCTTTTCTTTTAGTAGCATAACATTGTAAATAGAGGTCAATGGCACAGGATAAGTATGAATCTGTCTCAATATAGATCCACAGAATCTCCTAGATGGCTCATGTGCTTTTGAGGTATGGAGTAGGGTGACGCATCGACGCGAAAGAAAATGCTAATCTCAAGTGTTTGGAAAATTCTCTTCCATAGATTCGGAGCGCACTTGTGGAGATGGTGCAGACCTTTCACAACCGCAGCACGACAAAAGCATTGAGTGATTGATGAAAGCATTTTGGCTCTAGATGCGAGCTCATTCCCTCTACCCCATGATACGTTAGGTAAGCTCGCAGAAGCATTAGTATCAAGAGCTTATATCGAGATGAGTCGCGTGCATCTTGCCATCTCCGCTCTCAATCATCATTTGAATCTGAAGCATCGCAGCCGCATCATGCCCGCCTGGGCTATGTCCATATATTTGCTCCCCGAACATTCTCAGCTGCATTGGCATATTGGAGTTGCCATAATGCTCGATCACGTCTCTCTTTTCGATCGCACATCCTAAGTTGCTCCAGCCGCCCTTCGTGCCCACTGCCACACATTCTGCCACGTTCCCCTGCGACCACCATGCTGGGAGCAGACGCGAACGAGTGTTGACAAGCCTAAGGAAACGCTCAAACCCTCGCCGACCGTCTTGTACTCCACTGTAGATACTGTCCGTGTCGACATCGCCATTGAATTTATATTCGTCCTCCATACGTAAGCGATAAGTATCGATAAGGAGCTTGTAAACGTCATCTTTCGGACGATCGTGCATCCAAGTTCTGGCATCAAGCCGATGAAAAGGCTTGTCAATTGCAACAGATAAGCCTTTCGATGGGATATTACTCTCAGGGGATGGTGCATTGCGTGCACAAGTTTTCTTGTGTGTCTTCCAGTCCCTCTTTTGACAATCACGAGAGCAGTAGAATTTTGTCTGACATTTTGCGCAGCGTTTCAAGTTGACATCAGCAATGGCGCAAGTACCACATTTCTTGGAGTCGGTATTTGCATCAGTCATGTTGCAATTGTGTGAAAACAGGCAAGCAAAGTAATATTAATCTTCAGTATCGGATGGCCCAAAGTTTATCATTTCTGGTGTTTGTAGCCACAGCTCTCACGGTTTGCCCCGCAAGGGTTCGGTCCCGCCTAAATATGAGACAAAGGTGCCCCGCGCCAAGGATGACATGCTTGCTGACGTACATCGGTCGTTCTATGCCAAGGTGTGAATAAGTTGAAGTGCCTATCACACCAGTTGTTCAACAATTTAACCGGCGCAGGTTTAGTTTCTGTCTGGAAGCCGGTAGTGGTGAGAGTGCTCCGCGTCTCCGTGTTTCATACGTTCATGATAGCCCTTGAAATCCCCGTGTCCTGTTCGGCAGAATTGGAATGGGCTGCCGGTTGCCCGACCTCGACTGCTCCGTGGTCAGTTCCTGCGGCCGGCTTTTTTTCATCTGTTTTCCTTACCCGAGCGGTTAGCGACATGGCTCGGGTGAGGCCTCCAATGTATCCTTGTAGAAGTCGATTCTCGTTTTCAAGTTTGTCATGCTCTGACTTGACCTCATCGATGCGTTCCGCCAAGGCCTGCAATGACGATTGGAAAGTATCTGCTCGTCTGCGATCATCAACAACTAGGGATAGGCAGCAAAGGGAACAGGAAATGCTCACTGTTGAATAGCTTCTTGAATCTCTCTGCATAGCCTCTCCACGTCAGCGGGATTTCTTCTCGGGCTCATTGCCCGAGCATCATCTGGAGGAAATTCCTCCTCCTGAATCTCGATTTCTGGGTGATCGCGGGGGACAAGGATGGAACCACTGGGTCTTCGGCTGGCCAGACGCTTGGCCCTAGGATGTCGGTCTTTTTCAGTATCTGATACTGGGAGTGAGGATGAGAAGAAAGACGAGACACGCAGGTCTTTACTATTATTATTGTCGGGTGTCGTCATTCCCGTCACCGGAGCTGTGATACCAGATTCAACAGCCACTCCGCACAACTGAATCCCGAGGAAGCAGCTAGATTCGATTTTCTGGATACCGTCCCGTCTCTTGAACGAGGGAGCAAGATTGGGGGACCACCGGTAAACAAAAGTTGGATAAGGATAACTTGTAGAGAACAAGAAGTAGCACTTGGGAGATGAGAAGAAGCTTCACAAGTAGAAGTGAAGAGTATTAGTAATGGAAGACAGCACATTGCAAAATTGTCAGAGACAGAGGGAATGAGAGAATAGATTGCATTCACTATCTATCAAGGCGAGGGCCATAGCACAAAAGGAAAAAGATGTCTGGTGAAAATAATGCTGAAGTATTGTTATCTAGTCTTATTACTTGTAATAACGATCTACACATCTAAAGGATGATGGTAATCAGGAAATTAACTTTTCAATCAGGTTCGTTCCTTGACCCCAGAAACACTTGTCCGCCCCGGCCAAAAGCTCAACTGCTCTTGTTACCAGTTAGTGTCGATGCGATCAATCATATCTAGTGGCCTACTAGCCTTACTTCCTATGCGCTAGTCTCACGTCCCGTGCGCACGGACATTTGGTGGAGTGGACTCTCTCAGTCGATTTGTTGGGTGGCCATCGCAAATGGTATTCGAGGCCCAGCCGAGCCAGTTCTTCCTGCTGTGGCTTAATAGTTTAGCGCGAGGCATCCCTCACAGAGAATTTCCTGTTTCCCACCTTGCATGTCATTTCCCAACTGAGTCAAACCTAAATCGAAATCTGGCTTTTGTGCTAATTTTCTCGGCCTCGACTCCGACTTTGACTTCATGATATTCGAGTAATGCCATTTACCGCGCTGTATGTAGGTGTCCGGTGGCATCCACCAGGGTGCCACTAGGTACTTCGGCTTCGAAGAAGTGCAATGCGAAAAGGAAGAAGTGGTCCAACATATGAAGAATCCTTCGAAGCTGCAAGTTGAGTCTAGATAGCCCAACTCAGCACAACGCCCAGCCGAGCAGCTTGCACCGCAACAGGAACCCCGTTCACAGATCTTCGCTCGAGGTTTAGTATGAGCTATGAGATATCAGGATATATCTGGCCAGGGATTGGGAAGAACCTGTACACTCGGGCGTCTTCTGCAGCTTCGAGCCTGGTCGAAAGAACTCGTATAGTCTCGCAGCTCGGATTGTGTTTGGGCGGATAATAGAGGCTTGCTGTGGTGAAAGGTTCCAGATGTGGGGGCTCGGCCAGACTGGGGTTGAAGAAGAGAGGAGCCGCTTTCCAATTCGATCAGCCGACAAACCTGGGAGCAGTAGTTATCACCATCGGTCTGCCGGTCGCAGGATAGACAGTAATTCAGACACCAGTCTGTGGACATTGAAGGAAGATTTGGAGTTTCGCTGGAGGAGAGGATTAAAGGATTGTCATTTTTGGTTGGGAGCTCTCTCATATGTCATACTGATGTCTACGTTTTTATCAATGCTTCATCATTTTTAGCTTAGGGACGTTTTTGACTTTGGAGGACTTCTGGCTTGGGAAGGTTTGACTTAGGAAAGCGAAGACTGCTTGCTATCCTCCAAAAGCATTCCGAAAGGCTCTCTAGCAATGACATCATTAAGGGGCGACTGTGCCTAAGAACACGAACTACACTTTATGGTTACATCGGCACCTCAAATCTGTAGCGAACATCCAGAACTAGGGAACGATTTAGAAGGGGCCTATTGGTACACAGGAGTGTAGGCAACTGGCTCATTCGATCTTCATACCCAAATATCGGTTGGAATCCCCCATTGATCTCGTAATTTTAAATAAATAAGATAATAAGACGAATTGGTATGCTGAGACATGTTGGTTCTGATGAAAATTTTAAGAACTTGTGCCAGTCATCGGATCTTTCTGATGTGCTAGGCTTATTCTACAAACTGGAAGGTTGCGAAGCTCCGGTCCTGTCTCAGATCTTCCTCCTCGCATTTTGGGGCCCTTCTCTCTTGCTTAAGTGAATTGCTAATGTTGTCGAACAGCAGACGTGAGTGATTCTTATCCATGACTCGATGCTCCAACATGAGAGAATCGATACATGCCTCAAAGACTACAACTCTCATTGAATGCATTCGCTGCTCCCTCACGGAGAATGCACGGGTGCACGGCCTCTGGACGAAACTGGTCGTCAGACTGGCTTCTATTTTCTTTACTACTTTTACTGTCGCCAACTGACATTCCAGATCATATGCGTGGTGTCTCTCCCCGTATTGACGATGTCGCTAACCTTGCCGAAAAGTCTACCGTTTGCGGAGTCGTCGCCCTAATCAAAATCATTATCCTCATCTCTCTCGTCCCAGAAATCCAACGATGTAAACATGTTCGGCGCTGAAGGGCATAGCTCCCGATCTCCTTCCAGTTGCCCATTTTCTTCTTCATTGTCCAGGAGGTCCGCATGCCATTTTCGTTTTGAGCGTCGGAGTGTCTCGGTTGAAGGAAACCGGGATAATCGAGGGGCTTCAGGAGCTAAAAAATCCGATGTGTATTGGAATTGTTTCAAAGTCGTTGAGGGCAGCGAGGCGACGGTCTTGGTGTCGCTGCTGAAGCTGCTCCTTTGTGCGCTCCGGTTACTCAGCGATGGCTGCCTGGTAACTACCATATTGTCACCTGGTGACTCGCCATCAAGCATGCAGTAGCCGTACGTACCGTCATGGGAAGTATCCCCCTTCCTACCCCCATCTCCATCCACCGCTACACATTGCACTACCTCATCATTGAATCTAACGTGCCGCTGGTCAACGGAAGATTCTGTTTTGGAAGTAGCTATGACGGCATTCCCAAATGCGCCCTGAATCTGGCCAGCGTTGAGAAGAGTGAGTGTTGGGAGGGATTGCTGGAGGATTGCCTGGGACCGCGTTTTCTTGAGGATTGATTTCCTCTTAAGGAAAGAATTGGGCGCGGAAAGGCGGGGCGGTTGGGGGGTGGGCGGGTAGTGTTCAGAGTTGGAGTTCAACGGGCCGTAGAGCCAAGTGATATCGCAATCCTTCCACCTATCTTGCAGTTAGTTCCCACATCTGTATGAAATCCATAGCCGACGTGCCAGATATTTCCGACAATCATTACGTACCAACCAAGAGACCCGGGTGTGATGGTGCTAAGGCAAAACTTTAACTTCGCCCAAGATCTCCATAATGCATTTTCCAACCTTGAACTTTCACTGTATAGGATTCTTCGGGTAACAACATATTGCCAAGAACCCCATATGTCTTCTTCCTTCCAATCATGTGTCATGTAATCGACGTGTCTAGTGGCCCCGTGCCTGATTGAGCTATCATCGCTGGCAATCCGAGGCATTGTCGGGAGGTCAACTATTTTATCCTCGTCCTTCAGGCGTACCACAACGACATACATTTAATAGAAGTATCGCTCGGAATATCAATGAAGCGTTGGTGAAATGGAGAAACCAATCGTGTACGAGACGAGCGAATTGACTGCGGTAAAAACAGTCGCCGAGAATCAGCAACCAGGCGACTTTAAGAGTCAAGTTCACTGTCGATGACGTGTGGCGCTTTGACGCAGTTGTGCTTACTATCACATCCGAATACCATAGCTCATGAACTCCACGAAACGGGCGTGGAGGAACCGGGAACAGAAGGGACCTATATATGCGGAAAGATTTTGAGCGGGACGATGAGGCAGGTATGCCACCGAAGGCTTGGTTCCCAAGAATCCAGACTTAGGTTGTGGGCTGGGGGTAGACTGATCGGCTTAATTAAGGAATTAGTACACTTGCGGGGCGGCTCTGTCCCAGCATATGCGTATTGAGTCTCGATCTGGACGTGATCGTCGGAACCTGACTTGCTGATGCGAACAGGGCCACATCTGAATGCAGAATGTCCGAATGCAGCAGCGGCTGCTAGCAGGTTCGATGGACGATCATGCCCTCCACTTAGATTTCCAGGAAGTAATGGCTATATCTAGGTTCAATAATGGACCCCAAGCAAGTGCCCCGTTCGAGATCCCCATCGGCGGAGGGACCCGTGACGCTTCCTATTGGTCAATCTGTTAGTTGCATCTTCAAGGACCTATATGAACTGCCAGAGGGTATAGAATCTATTCCGTTCTGCTGATATATGCTGCGTGGATGGCCAGAAGAATCTTCATTGGTTGGGACCATGTTTTAGCCTTAGCGACCGGAAATCCTCCCGAATGCACTTTATCCCTCTCATAGGGATACAGTATGTGAAAACAGTCAAGTCTCAGAGCCTTTATTTTCTATTGTGTTCCAGCGACATAAGATGCAGCCATCAAGCTCGAAGGGGGTCAAAAAGTCATGGAGCGAGCGCAATAGCCTCGTCCAGATGCGTTATCGACGGAAAGGGACGCTGCGGCGTATGCTGCGTAGTTATTTTGATGACTGTCGTTGTAGGAGTGTCTACCTTCTCATCCACGAAGACAATCGGTACTTTACAATTAAATTTAGCAAAGATGATGGTTTAAACAGCCATTTTCCACCGCCGGATAAAGATATCGTGAGTGTCATTTACAGCCGCAGAAAGCCACCTCGCTGACAAAAACACAGGAGAAGCTGTACCCTCCGCCGTCCCGAACGACGTGCGAGAATTACCCCAAACCTCGGAAATCCAAAAAGAAAGGGCAGGTCAAACAGGAAGGGAAACCGAAAGAGAGAAGTGAAAGACGCTGAACTGATAAAAATGGTACTTTTTAACGCAAATGGCAATGCCGGTCCCTTTTTTAACTCGTCGCGATATGTTCGATAGTTGACGATGCTCGACAGGTGCAGGGGAATCATCTCGCCGTCATACCCAGCTTGCTTCAAACCGTAGAATATCGCAGTCGACCCGTGAAAGTTTCGACGTTCGTATAAGCACTGTGATCGCGCGTTAAAAAAAGAACCAGTAGGCAAGAATGCAGCATTAAGGCTTACCAAAGCAAGTTCGAATAACGCAGCACCGTGCAATCTACCAATAGAGGTCGGATTTATGTACCCAAATACCCCCGCCGTCGACTTATTGCAACTAGCTGAACCTTTCAGAACGGCGCTCCAGTTAAAGTCCAATAAACTGCCCGAAATTGCTAGATCATAATTGCATCAAAAGGGCATGCTGCCAGCATGTCCGTATTGTTCTGGACGAGATCCCATGACTGCGTGTTAAGACGGGTCAATATTTGATAGCCGCTGTCTGATCTGCAAAGTAGAACGTTATATTTCGAATAGCGGCCTTCAAACGAAAAGTCCCCCAGGGCGAGGATCTGAAGATTAGGCAGGCCGTCAGTACTAAACGCCCACTCTGCAAAGTTGTACTCGTCCTCTGATGTTTGAAACGGCCGCCCTGCTCTCATGTTAGAATCTAACACTTCACGTGGAGAATATCACTTACTGCCAAGTACAGTTGTCCCAAATACGTCACTGGCAGGTGCCTCCTCCTCGAAACCAACCAGTCCATCAAGGACAATTCCGCTTGTTCTGAGGTGTAACAATTTGCAAACCGGTCTAGTCGACATGCGTCTGAAGTGACCGAGCTGAACCAAGTTTAGCGACCATATCTGAACCTTGCTACTCTAGCCGCTCTTACCAGTTCTCGCGGTAACATGGACGTTCCAAAACCCTCCAAGCATCTCCCATCCAGGACATGGTCGAATTGAAGGTTCCAGGGTACGTCGCTGTCATTGAAGTCGCAGCCACCTATATCGTCTAGACAATGAGTAACAACACGTTTGAGGCTGGAATCGTGAGTTGATATTGCATCTGCGACAGTGTTCCAGTCAACTGGACATGAGAGCATGATGAATAGGTTTTCTAGTCCCCGAAGACGCCGGATGAAACCGCCCACGGTTTCACTAAGACGTTCAACGGAATCCAACCTGAGGTCACTGGTGCCGGAGTTGAAAACAAGTTCGAAGCTTTTCAAGTTCATCACCATCTCTGAAGCAATTACCAGTTGCAACCAGTCAAGGGTGCCCGGGCAGTTGCATAGCTTCAAACTCTGCAGTCGTTCGACGTTGAAAGCATCCAACATTTCCATGCCTGCGTGGTGGAACGATACACTCGACAAGGCCAGAAATTTTAGGTGTGGCAGGGATTGCTTGTGGACTCCTGGCTGGATGCCCAGCACTGTGTGCGCGAAGAAGTTGTCGGGAACCCTTGTTCGTTGTTGAATTCGTTCACTGAATACATCTATCCAGATCATCTCTGCGCGGTTCCAGAACACGAGATCAAGGCTCAGAGATTCTATCTGGTGTCCACGCACTGCAATACACTTTGCAATCGACTCAAAGTCATCATACCGTTGTAGGCCTCTCCATTCGAGCGACCGTAGTCCCTCTAATCGAGCGAGGTCTACAAAGTATTGTGTAAATATGCTGGCACCACATCCGCCATCTGTGACGAGGGTAACTGATTCAATCTGCCTCTGATTCCTGAGGGGTGACTGCCCACCCCAGAGCATATCTTCCGGTACACAGGTCCCCAGCTCCCACCTAAAATATTGTTAGCAGGTGATCACGGTGCGGGTTGTACATGTACGTTTACCGGAAAGTCCGGAGCTGATCATCGGGAAATTTGTAAAACATCAGAGCAGACATCATGTCGAAAAAAGGCTCTGATATGCTTGCCTATCCTAGCCTATTATCATCAATACTTTTATGACGCCCCTGATCTTTCAGCTCACCTCGTCCATACTGTTGCTATCCCATCTTTGCTCAACCACTTCGTCGTTCAAGTCCGCATAGTCATTGTGAACACAACGACGTTCCACTCGCTCATGAATTGGAGCGCGGAAACCAAGTTCCCGCGTGTATTTCAAGTATTCCATTGGAATGTTCTCCATCACAGTGACCAAGCCAGCTATCGACAACTCCGTCGTAGAAAAGATAACAGACCTGTATAGATGCGGAATTGTGATGTGATGCAGACGCTTGCAGGCCTCGCAAAGATGCTTGAGGTCGGAACGACGAGTAATCTGCAGGAAATTAGCAGGGACAACACAGGTCCACGCAAACATCAAAATACCTGGTCAATAATCAAATTGAGCAGCTCTGAGGGTAGTTCGGTCAGCATCTTGAGTCGCCCTAGTTCCATGAGGGTTTCAAATCACAGAGAGCAGTCCGAACAGTGTAATTCTTCTAGTGAGAAGGTGAGTGGTTTTGGGACATAAGCAGAGAGAAAGCAATCTATAGTATTTGGAGATTTGGGAGTCAGCCTGGTGGGGCAAGAGAGATGATTTTGAGAGTGTAAATGTGACAAGCAATACAATATATAATACAATGTCAGGAAGGAAGTTATCTCAGTAAGCTCAGACTCTCTGTCTGCTCGGTTGCAGCATTATTAATTCAGCATGACATTACGGAACTATGAGCTTCCAATTCCCAAATGCGTGTTGCCTGCACCAGAGATGTCGGCCTCGTTGAGCCAGTAGAGCTCGGGGAGGTGTTTTCTCGAGACTCAACAGACTGCTGCTGGACCCTCTCGGGCATGGTCGTTCCTTGGTCAATATCATTGTTTTCTGCGTGCAGATGTCAGCTACGACCCGTTATCAATAGGATGATGGGAGTTTCTGTTGCACCTGTGGCAGAACTTGAACCACTACCACCTCTGCTGTCCACTTGGCCGGCCTCTGATTCCTCGATCTTACGAGTTCGAGTTGTCCGGGTACTCATGATGGAAGTGTGGCGTCGGATGGTCTGCAAAGCTTGGGTGACCTTTGTGAGGGAAAAGAGAAGATCGAGCCGGGGAAACAAAGTGGGAGGAGGGCTGGCTTTATATGCCTTCGGACCTACGCTGCCTCTCCCCCCACAAGACAAATTGGGAGCAGCCGCAAATAGGCCGCACCATGTATGAGATTTGTTGGCTAATGAAATAGGGACTGGTTTAGGGATCGTCTCCCACGCTTCCTGTTGATGTGCATCTAGAAATGGGGTTTACAAGAGTAACAAACTTTCATTTATCGAACTGTTCTGTACGGAAAACGCAAAAGTATAGACAATCAAACGCGATTCGTACGATTCAAGCGATGTTTACAAAATTTGACCAACTTCTATCACTGATTGAGCTACGGTATAAAATCAGCCAAGCCGGATCTTGCGCCTGATAGAAGGCGAACTCATCGAGATTCAGCATTAAAGCGGCGTTATCATCAGATACAATTTACCGACAGAGAAACGTGAAGCAGAAAGATAGAATATCTGTCCCAGTCCACCTCGCGAGAACGTCAACTCGGAGTTAACATCTCGCCAGACAAAACAGCAGAAGGCCCCCCAGATTGACCATTCACATCAAACTTTCATTATACAAGCATAGAACCGAGACGTAAGAATGTGTTGGGTCCGCCAGGCTTCCGCGATGGATCAAGCGTTGTGAGCCTGGGAACTCTCTGCAAGATCGAAAGAGTCAGTGGGATTGGCAATTGCGCGTGCCCTAACATAATTCTCCGGCTTTCCCCTTTCTTTGCGGGCTTTAGCAACCCAGCTGTCCGCATCAGCCACTGCGTCGGTAGGCGACTGCTTGCGTTCAAGCAGGAACGAAAGTAGTATCTCCGCCGGGCTAAATAAATAGTCTGGTATCTTGGCGGCAAACTCACGCGCAAGTCGGTCAATTTTTTCATCATCTGTCTTCTTCTCTGCATCGGTCTTCTTTTCTGGGTTGCTGTCATCCTCATCCGACCGCTTGAAAACCGTGCAGAAAAGACGGGAACTCATCTTCTCATCAGCGAGCTGAAACAAAACCTTTCTGTCCACGCGGCCAGGGCGGATGAGTGCGTCATCCAGACGCTCGATGTGATTTGTTGTCATGATCAGCAATCGACCTTCCTGCGAAGATACACCGTCCAGGGCATTAAGAAGAGCGGACAGAGATACATTTCCCTGGGACTTCCTCTTCTGCGAAGGGCCTGCCACGCCCTGGCTGGCGTTTTCTGTCGTTTCACTGACTTCCGTTCGCGACGTGCCAGCAGCATCGATATCTTCTAAAAGAATGACACAATGCGGGGGAAGCTGGGCAAACAAACTGTTCAGGCGGCTGTCGTCGATGCTCGAAAGATTGAGAACATAGATATCCAGTTCAAAACGCCCGGCCACAGATAAGCTGAAACTGGACTTCCCAGTTCCAGGAGGCCCATAGAGCAGGAACCCTCTTCGATAGGGAATCCCGCGCCTTGCGTACCAGCCGCGGGCTCGCTCGTCCAGGAAACCCTCGATATCCTTCAGTACGGCCGTTTTCTCGTCCTCATCCATGATGACTGTCGAAATTGGTCTGATGTCTCTTGCCTTCGACTTCCTCCATTCACCGTCATGATGCTCAAAAACCGTAGTCTTTTTCTGGATAAGTTTTAGATACTTGGCTCGGCAATCACTTAAGAGCTCTCTCAGGATTTGCGACGATCCGCCGATGCAGGAGATGGAGATATCCTCCTTGGTCTCTTTTGCCACACACTGGAACCGGAGCAGATGGTTCCTGTACACGAAGAAGAATGATCCATTCCATGGTGAAAATCGCAAAGGCTTTTTGTTGTACTCGTTCGAAAGCTCATCAGCGTATACTCGTCTTTGCGAAAGAAAATCGGGATGTAGCACATAGCATTTGAGTGTCGGTAAGCATTATTTCCATGTCCAGTGGGCTTTATTGCTGACTGTTCACCAAGGTACGTCGAGAATGAGTACAATGAATGGAAAGAAGGGGAATCCGATAATTGGACAGTCCCTGTTTGTTCATACCCTGCTATGGTTGTTACCCGACCATGTACACCTGCGATCGAAACGAACTACTCCCTTGTGTGCTCATGGATCCAGGTCATATGGCTACTTCTCGGTGGGAGTTCACTATTGTGGCGGCATTTTCTCATATGTGCGATAAAAGCTTCTGGAAACCAACAATACCTTTGGGCTGCGGCCACCTCTAGATATTTAGTTGTTCAAACTTAGTGCAGCAGGTGTAATGAATAGCAATGTTCCCACTCCTCCAGGAGACATAGAATATTTGCTGGGATCCATATTTCACCCTTAAAGTAGAGCATGTAGCTGACTGAGTAAGCTGTCTAAGAAGTGGAGTGGACCTAATTAGAGAAATAACTGGGCACATTAAACCGTATGTATTGGGCAGGCTAATATATAATACTTATTCGCCAGAACAGAGCAATCATTAATCCTATTACGTTTCAATCAGAGCTATCGTATCATCATACGCTTTAATAATAGGATCATATAACCTTTTTGGGTCTTGCGGCGTTCCAACGATAAGTCCTTCCTTCCCGTAAGGAAACAGTACGCCTCGTATGGTCCTGCAAAGATGCTTGACGCGCTCGAAGTCCGGCGGAAACTCCTGCAAAAGGTACTCAAATCCGCCAGCTTCCATGTTACCTCGTTTATAAGTTGCAATTTTCTTATAAGTTCCGGTATACCATTCTCTCAGCATGCTGTCTTTGGGCGGGTCCTGTCCCTGTCTCTGTACCTCATTTAATTTTTCCCAACCGTGACGGGCACATTGCCAGATAAGCACGTAGAAAAACGACTCAAGATCATGTCGATAGGTGTGGTCGATATTAAGCAACACCTCGATCGCCATGAACTCCATTGTGCCAGTCTGGTGCGCCCGCTTCCGACTTCTTTGGCAAGATCCAGATCGATCAGCATGCCCGAGGCCGTGCTGGGGGTGCACTTTTGAAGTCGTGGCGCTTGCGTCGAAGGTCAGGCCGCAGCGCATGTCAGCGATACTAGTGATGGTACCGTGGCCAATGATCCTGGCGACCCCCCGGACATTCTTCCGACCCGCCAGCTCAAGGAGTTCCGCCTCCGGCCGCCGCTTGTCCGACACCCACGAGAATTTGGCTACCCCCAGAACAAATAAGCAGATGGCTGTGGTTTGTACTTGAATAACTCGCTACAAAAAGAACTCTCAATTTATTACTACGGGTGGGAGTCTGGGGGAAGGTGGGATTGGTTGGGCCAGGGGCACGAGCCATACATTGTTGGGGTCATCGGGGAGGTCCATGGGGTTATGTTCCATGAGATTAGGTTTGAAAGTTCAATGATATTAGTTACCAAAAGATCATAACAGGATAATCTTGTGGGCCCGCTCCTTCACGCTCTGGAATGTTAACTTTTCTAATAATCATTATTGTAGCAACTCTTCGTGCATAGTTGTCCAACTGAGTTCAATGGCGCTATTCCTTGAACTTTGAGGCGGAATTCCGACGGAGCAATTCCCCACAGCGCTCCAGGCTGATCTGAGCTTTTGAAAGTTCTTTAGAAAAGATAGATCTGTTCTTCCCAAGCTTTCTCCTCTTTAGCCCGAGGTTCGGTGATATAGCAGATAGCGCATTTCGCATCTCAGCTCGTTCAAAATCTACAAAGCATAGGGCGATTGCAGTCCTCATTTCCATAAAATATTTCGTGGCTCGACATCACGGTGTAAGTACACCTGCAAGGTGAATCGCTTGAAGAGACTGTGATGTCATCTCAATCACGCATGCCGAATTATCCGATTTCATAACTTCCGAGATGGGCTTTCCCGCCCAGCTCAAAAGGAGCATATGGGTATAAACTCCCTCGTCATAGTAATACGGGTATTTTGAGTCAAGCACAACAATCCCGAGACAAACCGGAATGTAGTCGCCTTGAATATCGTGAAGCCTGTGGTATACTTCATTTTCATGTTCGAGTTTACGTAAATTGTTGCGTTCGACGCCCTTTGCGAGTAGAGTGTAGCCATGCGACAAAAGATGGATTTTAAACGCTGCCCCACAACTTCCCTTCTTGTAGAGAGGGCGACAGTTGGCATCCGGGCCACGGTCCCTGGAGAGCTGCTCTCGGATAAGAGCACGAGCCTCCGATGGCTGGATCCGTCGCTTAAGGTGAGCTAGATAGTTCGGGCAGGAGCTGTCGAGCGGACCATCGTCTCGTAGGGCCAGCAAACACTGCTGGGAACAGTAAGGTTGGCTTTTGATCTTTGGTGGTTCAGCAGCATGGTCTATCCAATTGGCATCGCTGTCTTCGCTGGATTGCCCTTTCTTACCAGATTTTTGATCCGGGTTAGAGCGGGCTCGAGCGTTTACGGTTCGTCCACGGCGTGCGGATGGCGACAACGGAGATGGAGGCGGAGACGTTGAGGGGGAAGGGCTTCTTGATCGAGGTACAATATCTGTGTGTGGCCGGCATCTGGGTCGTAATGTCATCTGAAAAGGAGGAAGCTTGGAAGGGCGTCGGCCACGATACAGTGGTGAGGCATGCTTCTGTCGAGCGGTTGGAGGTGTTTGCTCCAGGATATCCGAGTATTCAACCGGCCAGAGGCCAAGTTCCGCGACGGCATCATACCATTCTTGCGGGGCAGGAGGGGACACTAGAGCTCTTAAGGTAAATGCTAGTACCTGAGCGACGGCAGTTAAATGGAGACTGTCATCATTGATTTCTTCAACATCTAGGCTGGGAGTACAGACGGAACACGTGACGGATGACGGATCGTCAAGAATGCGTAGAAAGATAAAGGCTTCTCCGGTGCACACATAGCCGTACCGGACTCCCTTGGCAACCATGTAGGAGAACAACTGTGTGATGACGGCAGCGACTAACCGCTTCGAGCAGAAATCAGGATCATCTGAGTCCTTACCAATTACTTCTTTGGAAGGATGAATGTCCTGAGCCAGCCCTCCCACGATTTCATCCCGAGTGAGCTTGTGGGGCGCCTTGTACTCGATAGCGAGCGCTGGGATGTGCTCATCGCCATCCTGGCGATAGATGCAGAATCGATCGGCCTGTCCTCCCGTGACCATCGTGGTCTCTTTTTTCTTTGTTTTATTCTTCTTGCCCATTCTCTTTCCAGTGCTTGATTCAGTCCTGACCATGGGTTCAACGGACGACTGCTGATCACCCGGGTTCAAATCAGCCGCCCGCGTTGAAAGCCCAAGGTTAGCATGGCTTTCAAAGGTAATCGATCCGCGCAAGCCGAATGTTCTCTTAAGCTCATCATTCTCATATATTCGGTCTATTATGGCCCGCACTTGATTTTCTACCGTTTCCCGTTCATAGTACCGAAGATCCCACTCTGAGGAAATTGGGCTGATAAGTTGGCGGACGTAGTCGAGCTGATGTAGGGAGGGGAAGAGCTTTTCTGTCAAGAAATGGGGATGCTGATCGAGCTTGTGCCACACCTTCATTTGCTCCTCAGTGAATGTGTCCCACAACGTGATGCGAGACGGAACCCTCCGATTTGTCGGTCTCGTTACCGCGCCTTGAGTTGTTCGAGTAGGGTCTGTCACGATCTCGATCGCGACTAACAATTCATGGCAGGCATGTAAAAAGAGAGGCAGTGTTGATGACTCCGAGCTCGCAGCCAAAGCTTCTGCTTCTTCACGCCGTCGTTGCTCTTCTTCACGTCGTCGTTGCTCTTCTTCACGCCGCCTTCTTTCGCTTCTCGCCTCAGCTTCCGCGTCTTGACGCCATTGTCTTTCTTGATCAAGTTCAGCTCTTTCTCGCTCACGTTCAGCTCTTTCTCGCTCGAGTTCAGCCAATAATTCTTGTATTTTCGGATCCATTTTAAAGGCATAATCTTATAGTAATCTGTATGTGCTTAAATTACAAATCGGAAAGCCACATGGAGCAAACGTGGAAAGTGAACGGAACGGATTATCTTACTTCCGGGTATATTTTGCAACAAGCAGCCCACCTTATGAGACGCTGGACCGAGATTTGAGATACAGGGTAGAAACGGTTCTAGTCGATTGACGCGTAGCTACCGTCTGGAGATGCACCAACTTTTAAAATGCCCGCCATTGTTTGCCCTCCCACATGTTTCCATCAAATATACTGTGGTGTTCCAGAGCTAGTATTTTAACTGTTTAACTGTTTCTTTATTACATGCCTCTCAATGATTTAGGGGTAATATAGGATTCTCACAATGCCTGTAACTAATGAACGCCTATCTCATAGGCTCCAGCACCTCCAACTTCAGGTGGCGGGGCGGAGTTATTCGTGTTGAATAACTGTTCTGGAAGTACACTAAAAATGCCCACATGATGCGAGGATGGAGATTAGATAATGGGCTTGGCAGAATAGCGCATCATACCACGTGTTTTGAATGTCGAGCCCTCGAAGCGTTAAGCCAGGTTAATTTTTATATGAACCAGTACAACAGTCGTTATTAGAGACATTTCATAAATTATGTTCGACAATGAGGTTGTTTCTGCCTAGCGCAGGTTGCTAAAACAAACTCCGCTATGCCTGAAGACCCTGAAGAATCCAGAATAGTAACACATACACCTAGGATTCTCCCTTTCGTCATCTTAACTAGCACTTCCCTGTTCAGCTGCATCCAAAACCAATGATTCGTAGGGCCCGTAAATCTGTAACGATGTGGAAGGGACACTGACTCCAGCCTCCAAACGGGACCTCGACTCAATCCTTGTGGTAGACGTGCTGAGTCTTCACGTAGCTTCCAGCATAATATTCAACGGTACAATGTTCTTTTGGGTCACCACTATGGCTACTAGTGTGGAAGTTGCAGCTTGGCGACCATTAGCGAAGTCAGCGTACGACGGGATACACTAGATCATTTCTGGTGATAGAGGGGTCTCTCTGTTTGCACCTGTCTTGAACATCTTGTTCAACCCTGGGAATGATGGGGTCGCCAAGTTCGAATTACCCTCTTTAAGACTGTAGCCATACATGGTAGATTGGAAAGTAAACAGGAACAGATAGCAGAGCTTGAAAGTTCGCGATTTCCATCTCACCAAGTGCCAGCATGCCGAGAAGGTCAATAAAAGTTCAACCTATCACGTGGGGCCATAGAAGGTCACATGGGCACGCTGACCATTGCAACTGGGGTTTTCTGCCCCGCCGAAGCCAATTCCCCGCCAACGATAAGATGTTCGATTAAATATCTGTTCAGAGACCATTAATTTATTTTCGGCTTCCAATCTGTATATCTTTATCCGTACCGGGAATCTATGTCTCACTTTGCCAGAGATATTCCACTCTTCTGCCACCTTGAGGTAAAGAACATGCAATATTTTTGCCAGAATAGAAAGTCACTTAAAGCTAATGATGTTTGTTCTAAGACTACTGTGTTTGATTCGACTCTTTGCTTTCCTTACACCGCACTGCCTGTCATGGCAACCCCTCCCATCGGATATATTGACAAAGCGCGCCGAGAGGAATTTTTGACCTGGTTCAACAAAGCAAGTTTTGTGCAAAGATATGACAACATTTATCATTGTGATGATACTGGGCTTGCCAACCATGTGCGGTATCTGCTTGAAAATGTTTTTGAAGAGGTATTGAATTCACGATTTACAGCTTAGAAAATAGCTAAATAACAAGTATTAGGGGTACAAGTTTTCAGCCTGGAGAGCCCGAGCATTATGCCATTTCACCAGCGCGCATGGCTTTGGGGAACTCATTGTTCTTTCTGGAACACCTCGAGTTGGGTCAGGACCAGTGCTTGAACTCGGTTCGATTAACAGCATCACAAACGATGATGCGGTTAGCCCACCAATTGAATGCGTTTACGTTGAAAATGCCAGAAGGAAGAAACTAGTTAAGACTATACAGGCTGATGAAAAGAGCTGAATTGGTTGTAGGAGCCATCCGCTTCTTGGAGGAATTGAGGGTGGATTGATGTATTCGTACTCTGCGGAATAGAATGTTGTATATTAGGGGAATAAAATCTTGAATCCATCAGCTCCATGCTTTGCGAGTATCGTGTTGTATCAATCATTGGCACATGGGAAGTCATCAATTGCTGTACTTCAGAGCCCTGCAGAATTTGGCCGTCCATGCTTTGCGAGTATCGCGTTGTATCAATCATTGGCACATGGGAAGTCATCAATTGCTGTACTTCAGAGCCCTGCAGAATTTGGCCGTCCATGCTTTGCGAGTATCGTGTTGTATCAATCATTGGCACATGGGAAGTCATCAATTGCTGTACTTCAGAGCCCTGCAGAATTTGGCCGTCCATGCTTTGCGAGTATCGTGTTGTATCAATCATTGGCACATGGGAAGTCATCAATTGCTGTACTTCAGAGCCCTGCAGAATTTGGCCGTCCATGCTTTGCGAGTATCGTGTTGTATCAATCATTGGCACATGAGAAGTCATCAGCCGAGCTCCCTGAGGCATGTTTTGGGAATGACTCTGGGAAGCCAGCGGAGGCTCCTCATTAGGATCGTGTGGTTGGAAAGAAGTGAAAGAGTTATCTTCGAAGTTCGATATGTTGCCCGCGGCGTTTGTCACAGAAACCAGCCCAGTCATTTCCTCTGGCCGGGGGGATATTCTGACTATATCATTTGTAACATCGATGTCTTGCATCCGTGGTACTGAATCCTGTGGGGATACTGTATATTGTGCCATGTGGGCATCGACGATCGGGCGAGGGGCATGCGACGGAACATCTGTATCATTTTCGACGAGGCCACCATGGTCATTTGCGCTGACTGCTAATTGAATTTGGTTCGAAATAGAATCATTGTGGCGCTCAAGAACACCTGAGCCACCAGGACCGTTGTAGTACAGCGAGTTGTCAGCGGATATTGAGCTTGTTGAGGATGTGCCCAGGTGGTTGGCGGACGTTTGCCGTGCAGGATCATTGAAGCCTGTAATAGTCGAGGTGCTTAAGTCGGAAACAGGTCTGATCCGGAATCTGTCGGACGGCGCTCGGTGGACATTGGTGTTGTTTTCGGTATTGCTCGGAAAACTGGTATAGCCTTCCACAGATGTCAAACCTTCTGTCGCGACCTGGCATACCTCAGGTGCATTTAATGGAGTGCTTTGTCCATTTGTGTTCCCAGTGCTGGCTGTATGCCCTGTCTTGTCTTGTGAGTGACAAGCTTGTTCCTTTCGCCGGTGGCATCTTCTCTTGGCAGGAGAATCCTTTTTGGAAGAAGATGCCCGCTTCCGACTCATCTCGGGGTGGATATCCTGGCTATTTCCACATAAATCCGGGCTTCCCCGATTGGTAGCAGAAGCGTGAGAATTTTGCTCAACAAATCCGATAGCCTCGCATATTGATTCGGTGCTTCAGCGATCAGCTTTAGAGAACTCCGAGACATAGGCTTTTGACTCACTTAGCATCTTCGCTAAACCCGACTACTATACGGGGTACATCAAACGACGGCTGACGAGCAAAGGGCCCGTTCCATTGCCGAAGAGCCCCAACTATTTTCTCGATTGACAAGGCTCGAGAAGGTCCAGACAGCCGACTAATGTCATATACATACTTGTACACTGAAGGTTCTAACTCACTCAGCCTTGGATCAGAAATTTAGTATCAGAAATTTAGTAGGGTCAATCTCACCAAAGATAACATAGTATGAAATGCATATGTCTGAGTTCCACCATGATTGATTAAGAGATCCAAGAATTCCATTGACTAGCAGTACTTCGTTCCGGTGATTTCTCAACGCTGCTGGAGTGTAATTCCAGCCATAGTTTCTCACGAGAGCATTCATCTTAACAGGTTAGCAATAGGTCATATGTCTCAGAGTTCCACAACAAACCTTTCGCCATGTTTTGTGTTTGCCTAGCGTTAAATGCTTCGCGATCATATAAAAGCAAAATGCAAGGAACCTTGATTTCTTTACAGAGAAATCCAGTTGAAGTGATGTCCTTTGATATTCCACAGAAAGTAATAACGCGCGGAAGGAGAGGGATGTGCCGGGCCCATCTGTCGAAATGTCCTTATTGTGTGTGTCAAGGGATGGGAGATCAGCCGAATCCTCAACGGAAATGGAGAGAGCCTTCTGAAAAGCGCAAACGAAACTTTTGCTGAGCTCCTGACTCCTTTTAAGACTGGCCTCCCCATCCCCTTTGTCATCGTTCCCGTCGTCGCCGTCCTCGTCATCCACGGATCCCTCGTCGTCGTCACTACCCATGGTCCCATTCGATTCTTTGTCCCCTTTGTCGTCGTCGTCGTCCCTGTCGTCGTCATCCACGGATCCCTCGTCGTCGTCACTACCCATGGTCCCATTCGATTCTTTGTCCCCTTTGTCGTCGTCGTCGTCCCTGTCGTCGTCATCCACGGATCCCTCGTCGTCGTCACTACCCACGGCCCCGTTCGATTCTTCGCGATTGTCGGCCCTATTCGATTCTCTAAAACTCTTGCCGTCGTCACCCGCAGCCTCGTCGCCGTCTTCGCAGTTAAGACCTTCGTTTTCGCACCTGCGAGCATGAAGGACGTAGTTGCGAACTTGCTCAATGGCTACCTGATTACAACGTTTGATCGTTGTAGACACATCATTGTCATCCCAGCAGATAGACTGTACAAATGAACGTAATGACTGCTGACTGCCTTCCTCAGCGGTTCTGCAACACCAGCTGTGGTTGACATAAGACAGGCAGAAATTCCGAGGAAGATTCTCTGCAAACTGAGAGGATGGTACGCTAGTCTGAACACAAGCAAAGTGCTCCCCAGAGGCGAAGATAAAATGAATAGAAGTGCGTTCTGTAAAAGAAGATGACATCTTTCTCACCGCATCACTGGAAGAGACGGACAATAGCTGATGCTCCTACAAACGGCTTCGATTCTCAAGAAATGACAGATCGTGGGGAGAAAAGGATGCCAAGCCAAAACGTATTCACAAGAATGCATGTTGGCTTGGCATCCGTCCTCTAGTGTACCACATTTCAGCCACGAGACCGGATTTCACATTGACCCCGTTTCGACCCTTTGTTCCACTTACGATCCTTGCTCCAACCTCCATCCTTTGGCTTTTGCGCCGCGTTTGGTACTTGTCTCAAATTAGAGGATATATCATTTCCCAATCAAGGTGACATCGGGCAGCAAAAAAATCGAGCTTCATGGATAATATCTCGCATTCCTTTTCCAATCGCCGTCACTGAAAGGAGAATGGTACCTCTTTCCTCGGGAATCACCGATTGCACTCAGGCTCTAAATACAAATATGATAGAAATATGATCCGGATGACCACCTTCACATCATGAGTGGGACTGGGGCGGCGGCGGGCCATTGTGATGATCCCACCAAATATGATTGAAGCCTTCCCCAATGTTAAGCTCGATAATTGTCAACGGAAGGCGCCCCCCGTTCTAGGAGAACAATTACTAATGTCGCATTATAGTTGCTTTGACTTCTACCAGGATCGCCAACATTACTCGGTTTCTCGGTTTCTCGGTTTCCCATCGCCGAAACTGCGCCGTGATGGCCTAGACTCTTGGGAAGAGTGATATTGAGCCCGAAAATGAGTCTTTTTGGATTTTCCTTTGCCCAATGAGGACAGTGGTCGATTGTCGCTGGTGTACCTGTACCATCACCTAGACTATCTATACCTTGGGAAAGACCAGGAGTATGCAAAGTGCAGCCAGGTGTGCCAGAATATGTCAAGGCAACGGGGAAATTTGCGTCGATCATCCTGGAAGAGGGAGTGCGATACATGTCCAGCTTGAGTCCGAGCCATCCTCATGCAAGAGTATCACTGCCTTGATACTGAGGCCAAACTTTGCACCTCACTGGTTTTGGCTATAAGAGATGCTTCACCGTTCGCTCGTTGCCTTGTTTGAATACGGGCTGCTCATCCACGTTGGTTCGCACGCAAGAATTTGCTCCCATCGTTCCATGCGAAGGGCGTGCTTACTATTATCATACAAAGTTGGTTGACATATTATTCCTTTTGCCATACGAGTCTTTCAGTTTGAGTTTGAACCAGCCTGTGCAGCGTACATTGGCAGCCTTCTTTTACTTGTTGTATTTGGAAAGTCACTGACGTAGAAGCAGAAAAATGCGCATGGCAATCATCGCCCGAACCGAAAACTTTTCAGTCAAAGTTGAGCACACAGTTGAGTGGAGCACCGTTGCCAGCTTGCAGGGAGCACCCGTAAAATCCTCTAGTTTTGAGATCATGCCAACGGTACATGTCCTCCCCCATTTGTGGTGGCCTCGCTAACAGAACCAGGCTTCGGCCCCTGTTCTCCAACTTCTAAAGCGTGGAGACAGCTACTTTGTCAGTGCAGGCACTGGCAAGTTACTCCCAGCCTCACTATCCGATCTTCTGAGCTCGTGGGCGGGGGTTGCCATGGTGTTTGAGGCTGGTTATATCAGGGATGTAATGCGATACAGCCGGTCGTACCCATTGAGTAATAGCCACCTGCATATCACTGGTGAAAAGACTTCTTCTCCTTGCACTGTTACACTCTCTTTTTCCGAATCACATACCCACACCATAACTATCCCATCCGAAGCTCTGAATACGTGGCCTGGGCGGATCTTACGGTGGGAAAACAAAAGGCAATCTTCCGGGGGGGAGTGCACATGTGATTGGAAGGTTGGCTCGGCTGTCATTATGAGCTTTGTGATTGGATTATGGACGGACTTGCGGATGTCCATACATGAATGTTGCGATTGGTGTCGGCGTTGGATATAGTTTCTCGGGACCTACGATATAACGTGAATTGACTACTTGTAGCTCGGTGTGTTTTTATTTGACTTTTCCCTGGCCATGTTGTATTTCCGTCTAAATAAAATATCATAACCATACTAATTGACCTAGCTTCCGGGTTTTATTTCCGTTCTCGCCTTTATCCCTGCTGTAGAAAGCCATACTGGGAAGCTTGTCGTGCGGCTGGATGCTTCTACTTCACAAAATAGGCGAATCCGTAAGTATCCTGTTTGACGGGCTTATCACCCCAGAAGGATATTAAAGGTAAAGACTCAAGCACAATTTCTCCAGAGCTAACACGATATTCTTCGCTTGCATGGTCTGGCGAAGGTACAGTTGAGTACGCAGTTACTTTAGGCACGGCAGCAAGCGAAGTGATTCTGGTTTTGAGAGGTATATGGTTCTCTTAGAACGTTCTTTTCATTGTGTAGCTAACCCCTTTTCAGATGGACAGCATACAAAATTCGACCTCAGATAGGAAATTACGGAAGAGAACGAGCACCCTAGCGATGCGAGAAAATGCAGAACCCAACAAAATAACCGACAGATCTCAAGATCGAGATGACGACCAAACCACGGCCCATGTTCCACAGACCGAAATAGGGAGGAAAAGGCGAACCGAAGTTCGCCAACGTCTGAGGCTCTACTGCTGTGTATGTAGGGAGGATGTTAGCAGCGGGGGGGAATGTCAACTATGTGGCCATACATCGTGTCCGGAGTGCTTGCACAAAAGGAGACTGCGTAGGGAAAGATCTGTTGATCGATCACACAAACCGAACCAAGCGAATAGATGTCATGATGCTCAGACAAACAACCAAACGCGCGCAGTCCCGGCGACGCTTAGCCAAGCTATCGAGATCGATGAAGACCCGGAAACAGAAACCGACTCTGTGCTCGAGATGTTGCCTTATTCTAAACTGAAGCAGGAGTGGAGAGAGCAACAACAAAAACGGCAGACCTGGGTTAATCGAGCCATCAAGTGCTGCAACTGCGAAGTAACTGGCTCGGCGGTCAACAAATGCGCATGTGAGCATGAGTATTGCGGAATATGCTTTCATTATTCTGTTGACTAGTTGCAAGGAAAATGATTGGTTACCCAAAAATAGAATCTTGCTGGTTACATTTTCACAGACTTTCAGGTCAACAATTTTTCCGACAGCTTAAGCACACAGAATGCCTTCATAAAAAAGCTTCTCTAGATTTTGACCCTATCAGCTTTCAGGCCAGTTACAATATTTCAAGATGTAGAATGTATATTGCAATAGGTTAGGTGACAGCACAACTAATTATGACTACCCTTTGTGTGTCTCGTTCACCGAGAGATAATCGAGGGGCCATGCAAATATCGGCTCCGGTTGGGCGAGGTGTATCTGCTCTTAACATTCCAAAGGTGATAAGAAGCGGTTCTTGCCTCCATTGACATCCCCTTAAAATATTTCCCACAAACCAACCCGGCAGATTTTGTCTTGTGGAGATGGTGAGTTCCACACCACCTATCCATTCTCTCTATACTAAGAAATTTCAGGAGCCCAATTCCCTCGGCGCGAGACAGTCAACCACATGTTCAACCCACCAGCGAAGATATCGCGATAGAAATTTCACTGGTTGTTTGACCTGCAAGGCAAGGCATGTCAAATGTGATGAAGCAGCACCTGCCTGTCGCAACTGCATAAAAAGGGGTTTGCACTGCGATGGCGCCCAGAATGAAATACTCTTCAAATTCTTCGACCCCAGCCAGGCGTCGTCCGGTTTTGTAAAGAGACAGCATAAAGCTTTTAGAAGGGAAACGGCCAAAAACCACGGTGTCTCCAGCTCACACCCATTGCCATATAAGGACCCAACTTCCCCCTGTCTACGTTCCGTGGATTTACAAAGTGGGACCCACGCTTCCACGGAATCTCTTGCCATGGTGAGTCTGCTATTCTTCACCTACTTAAGGAGAGCGCAGCTAACGTAGGCAAGGACAACCCCACCACTGGTGACGGCAAGCCCCCGTTTCAATCTACTCCCAATGATGAGGCTCGCGATCTCCAGTCCCATTCATCCAGCTATAACCCGTACTCGATTGATGAAGCTAATTGCTACTCAGACTATTCTGATATCCGTGGTGATGTATGGAATACAAATGGAATTGACATCACCAATGCTAATTCTAAATAGATATGTCGCGGCGATGAAAATGCACCCTTGGCTTTCATTGTTTTCATCTCAGAGCCTGTACTTCAAGAGCGGCTGGAGTATCTGAAGGCTCATACTTCAGAGCTGCACAAGCAACGCAGTGTTTTTCGCACATTCTCCGAGCTTAGAGTTGATGGACCTCTGGCATTACCATACGCGCTCTGTCTGGTAAAGACTCTCCGACAACACGCAGGGCAGCAATTGTTGATGAACAGATTGAATGATACCATCCTCTTCCTCTCCACACGATTGAGAGGGCTGCTGTCAACACATCTGTTATATACTCATCGAGATCGCATAAGTCGTGCATCACTTCTACTTCAACGACCGGTGTTCTACAAGCGTTCAGACTTGCCAGGAAATATCTGGCAAGAGAGCACTGTTTTGGATTTCAGCCTGGATGGCCTAACTGTGACATTGCACCTTAGTAATTATCGCGTTCTCAAAGTGTCTGATGAGCTTTGGAAGGGGTTCAACTCCTTGGCTTCGGGTATTGCTGATCCGGCCGTGATGTTTGGCGTTGGCTAATGTATTTTATGACTTTCTCGGCCGGTTTGCTACTGCAGGAGGATAATGTTGTTGGTTAATTTTATGTTCAGGTACAAAGTCTTAGGGTTGCCGTAGTACCATCCAATCTCCTAATTCTTCACTCATTCGCATTCGCCTGTTAGCATACACACTCTTAATGATGATTTTTCACGCCGGGACCCATATAACGCCTCATTGCTGGCGGGAGAACACGAAGAATCGAGGGGTGAGCTGCTCAAAATGAGACGCATCCTATTTACACGCTGGTTGCATGCACTGATCCCATAACTGGTACATGTACTGTAGGCCATTAGCGCAGACTAGGGGCCGAAGGCAAGGCATATAAAACTATGGCAGGGGCAGCCATTCCAATAGATTGTTTAATCACACTTTTTTTTTTTTTTTTTCCTTTCTCCGTTTTCCTTGTAAGCAAGAGTGGGCGGATTGGTATGGTATAAGAATGCTTGATTGCCCAGTGTGTCTGCCCTGGATCATTCAACCAAACCTTTATTCCTACGAAGTTTTCTGAGGCACGCACATAAAACATCATTGGCATTATAGAAGATAGGTAAAGAATCCCTTACACACCGCAATGCAGGTATCAAGGTTTGCTCACAAATCTATCAGGTACTGTAATGGCAGCTACAGTCCATGTCTACCGCATTCACGATCCGGAACCCTCCGTGATTCCTCGCACTGGGCTATCCCCTCAGTATGCCTATGGAGCCCATGTGTTTCGTTGGAAAGAGTATTTGTTTATCACCTCCAACAAGAAGCCGAATGTCTCCGGAGTCCAAGACATTTCTTTGAAAGGGCTCAGCGATGAGCAAGGCTTTCTCCACGCTGCAGCTGCTTCTCGGAAAGCACCTCAAGTTGTTGAACAAGCATATCTGGAGATTATAAATAACGAAGAGCTCGCAGGAGAATTTACAGCCGTCTGTGACCGTTGCGATGCAGTGATGATCGAGTATCTGGAAATCGTGAAGACCGAATGGTTGAAATTTGCCGAGGCATTCGAGTCTGGGCTCCAATGCCTTCTTCAAACGACTAAGGAGGCAGAAGTAGAGAAGGCCCTAAAGCAGTTGAAGAATTGTCTGCATATCCTCAGAGATAGCATGGGAAACGTCACCCACGAACAACAAACGGAGAACATCCAACACCCCAAGAGCTGGGCGCTCGACTCCCTCCTCTGTCTTCTCGGGGATTGTCTAGGCAGGATGGAAATGATCAAATGGGCATTCGATATGGCTAAACCATCTAAAGGGCCATATGACCTGCTCCGTCTTCGGGGTGATTTGATGTACATCAAGGGACGATACAAGCAGGGGATAGGGGAACTGGACGAGAACCTGGCCCGTCTGACGGCAAATGACGATGCTGCAACATCAACCCTGGTAGGTACTTCCATTTCACCTGCTGCTCTTCTCCGCTCACCGTTTCCAATAGACCGGAAGGCCTACTGTCCACCAAAGTCTTCTGCATCTATGCATTGTTCTTCTTGAGTCCCAGCCTTCAATCACAGCCCACCGCCTCAGACGGCAGCTGGATATTATGAACTGGCAGCCAACCAACTGGGAAAAAACCTGCAATGAATCCGATGATCTTTCTGATGACAATTACCTTGATATCGCGCTTACTTTAGAGGACCTCGAGGTATTTGAAGGCATCAGATTAACAGGAGAGATGGTGAAGGAACAGTACACAGCTCTGATGAGAGAACTGAGAAGGCTCGCTGGTGATATAGCGCCTGGTGTACCCAAAAGTGATGATTTTTCTCTCGCTGCGAACGTGATCCTAATCTGCACATGTATTGGGGTCCATGCGGTCGCCCCCCAGCTGGAGGACGATTTCTATGCCAGGACGGATTTTGAGAATCATGCTGCTGAGCTCAGCAGATCGCCACTGTACCGGGAAAAGCGGATCTCTTCTGAGGGCGCAGCAGACGAACTCGACCGCATTATCCTCCCTTTACGACCCAACAGAGACCCGGCTCCGTCCCCTGAAATCAAAGACAGCGATGTCTCTCGCCTACCACTGCCTGAGAGGCGGTTGGGTAAAAGACTGAGTGATGGCGATTTAAGCCAACAGAAACGGTCGAAAATGTCGGAGGCAAGTGATTTCTGGTGAAGTTGGTTGTTCTAGCTAGGCGAGCTACAAATGATGCCGGACAATCTTTTGAATTCTATATTGTTTCGTAAATATCAGGCGCAATTGGGATGTTTGTTCCTGGTTGATACTTTGTTAAAATCAAAGAAAAATGATTGGTCAAAATAGAAAATCCTTGCTTTGCGCCAAATGAATACTTGCACCCGGAGTTTCCTGGTCTCGCTCTCTGAATGGTTCTTAAATCAAAGAAAAATGATTGGTTACCCGTCCCTAGGTTGCAGGTCATCCTTGTTGTGCCAATAAGAA